TCAACATCATCAACATCATCAACATCCTCAACATCCTCAACATCCTCAACCAGCTCCAGTACTTCCATCACCACAGAAACTCCTGCCACTACAACATCTATCTCATCAGCCATTACTGAAGCTTCTGAGACTAGCAACACCAGTGATGTCACTACCTCAAGCACTCAAGAACCAACTGTTGAGACATCAACTAAAACTTCTTCGAGTGTCTTGCCAACACAAGCTCCAGAAGAAACAACAAAGAGTACAACCACTCTGCAGCCTACATCTTCGAGCCATCCAGAGTCCATCACAAAGAGTGAGCCAACGGCTGCATCAGCACCAGGAACACAGACATTTTGGACCACTGTGACAAGCACTGGTGTTTCGACGGTTACAAAAGTTGAGGTGATTGATATTGGTAACCAAGAGACACGTACTCAAACAGTCATTTCCACAACTGAAACCGAGTACGTTGTGACTAAAGAAGTTACAAGTACTAATCCTACAACTGTCACCAGTACTAAAGTGAATATTGTACCCGGTGAGGCAACCACTCTCATTGTTACAGAGACTGACTGCACCACTACAATTACTGCTGATTCTCAACCAACCCAGGAACCTGCCACCACAACTACTAGTGAGGGAACAACTTCAACTGAAACTACTGCTGCAGCAACATCAGCAGTTGGTGAAGATTGCTCCACTCTAACTGGTGATGCTAAAGCAAACTGTCTCAACACAAACTTTGCAGCAGGTCTTTTCACTAATACTGCTGATGAATGTACACATGGAGATATTGGATGTGATGCCAATGGTGGATATGCCATTTGTAACTGGGGTAGCTGGGTTGTCCAAGGTTGTGCAGCTGGTACAACATGTTATGCTCAGAACTACGGTACTTATATATACATTGGTTGTAACTGGCCAAAGCAGTGAAAGAGACACATTCTCAAATTATGACTGCTAATGACATATATGCACCAATGGACTCTTAATTTCTCTACAATACCTCTTCTGCTCTTCAATCTGTTCATGTAATACTATACAGCTTCATTCGACTATATTACCACCTCGTGTAGTTCATTTCGATAGGAAGTAAGAGTACACTCTCGATCTAACTTCTGCTGTTGATGGATCCTCGTCTGGGAACATTGGTTTCCAAACGACAAGATCGTTTTGTTCAACTTTGAAGTCAAACTCCTTCGCAGTCTCGAAGAATTGCAAGTCATTCTCCAGTAGCCATGGTCTGTGTGGACTAAAGACAACAAAGCACTTACCATTTGATGATAAGAGGTCCTTACAAGTTTGTAAGAGTTTTCTGTGTTCAGTGTGGTTAAACACCAAGTCACTCAGGATGATGAGATCAAATTTCTCTTGTCCAATTGGAGCAATCGTTTCTAGAAGAGGAGTATAATCGTTTCCCCAAATGTATCCTTTCACTGCTATGTTGTTTAAATGTCCACATGTGCTCTTCACGTTGTGTTCGATGTTCTCGATGAGCTCTGGGTCTGGATAGTCAGTGGACACAACTTGCTTAGCACCGTTTAGCGAGCATATCAACGATGGCAAGGCAGCAGCAGCACCGAGTTCAAGGACACATTTGTCCTTGATGAGTTCATCTGAGTGCTCATCAAGGTAGTCAGCGGTGTAAATACCAGCGTTCCAAAGCAAATGACCCCAGAGTGGTGATGAGCCAATGAGACGCAGGTTGATATCCTTTGGCTGTTTCTCTACCTTACGAACGTATGAAGCATAATGAGGCTCCGGTGGTGGCTTGTAGTAACCTTCTGGCTCTTGGAAGAGATCTCCTCCTAATGACTCAGTGTCAGACATTTACCGTTGAATTTCAAAGACGTAGTGTGAAAATGTGATGAAATATTTCAGTTAAAATTTTACCCGATGAGCTTTAGCTGGTTGTAGATGACAAGATCATACATTATACGAGGAAACACAAGCTCCCTCAATCATTGGTTTCCTTCTTGAAGATGGTGTTTCTCTACTGTCTCATCTCTTGCAAAATATGCTTCTACACTTACTATTCAAAAAGTTTTATAACATTAAAGCCATTTCAAAATGAACAAGCCACTTGTCTTAGAGAACAAAATTGTACATAAACGTTTGGATGTGTTTTGTCATTTCTTTGCAACAGAAACTCAGCATGTTTATTGGGTAGAAGATGGACCTGGGTTGGCTCTTCTCTTACCGTTGATCAAAGTAACGTTGATGAATCTCTTGGTGTACAAAAGACGCTTGTAAGCTCTTCCTTTTGGCTTCTTTGGCTTCTCTTGCTTGTCAACCTTTGGAGTTTGAGATTTAACCTTACCGGCACGAGCCAAGGAACCGTGGACTTTACCCTGTAGATGTGACTGTTAGTATTTATTTTAAAGTGAACGAAACGAGTGAATAATGTGATCAGTTGACTATCGCATGGCCCATTTGCTCTGGGTTTGGAGTGCTTCATAGAGGGAGAGGGTAAACGTCAGTGATCTGGATACAGTCTCTTCATTTCTTCAGAGTAGCCATCAAAATCGCTTCCTGTCCTTCCAGACAACAAATCAGCTGTATCAAAGCATTCGGATACAAAGCTTATCTTGACCTCTGTATCTATACAGGATATCACGTAAAATATTCTTGCTATTCCGTTCCTTCGTTGTATGCTTGGAAAACTCCTCTCTCCAGTCAAACTTCAATACGCTCATATCGTTTAGGAAACCATTCTCGATCCTCTTTTCAGGCCAATATCAGGATGTCCCAATAGTCCATCACGTCAAACGCCCACACTTATCACTCTTTCTCTGTTCAACAACGTACCATTTTGTCTTATTGGTTTTATGTGGTATAGAGTCTTCTACCTGTGCTTTGTTGTTGATGAATAAACTTGGGCTGTTTTTTTTCGCCATTGCCCTGCGATCGCGGCAGTTTGAAAATTGTGACTCTGAATGTCTGGATGTTTTTGCTTTTCTCCCCCTAATTCCGCAGACGCTATAATTTTGGCGAACAGCCCTACCCCGTATCATGTGACCTATGAAGTTAGGGTTTGAGAATAAATAATAACCGTTAGCCACACCTGCCTTTTGTTGTGGCATACCCCATACCATACGTCATAACGGTTTGTGCTGTCCTGCTCTTTGGTGCATTATTACCCGTTCTCTAAGTACATTGGTCTACATTGAAGTTTTTCATGGGCTATTGATATTAAGTTTATTCCGACTATTCGTTCTTTGCCATGATCACAGCCACCAATGTTACAACAGAGAGCTAAAGCCGATGTTAGTATCCATCTCTTCTAAATACGGATAGAGTATTTTGAATAGATATGCACTCACACTAAACACCAGAAAGACCAAGATATACACCGTGAGCTTTGCAGGTGGATATCTATTCTCCTTGAGTAGGTACTGTGTTCTAAAGAACCTATGTGTTCCCATGAGTACACATATAACCCCTATAAGTACAAGACACGCACCTACGGGCCGTCCTAGTTTAGCGACAATGTCCGTCTCTGAGTTGCTCTTGACAAGTTTGAACAATTGGGTCACGCCGACACCTGCTGTGGCCATTGCCATTGACGTTCTGATCCATGAGAGAAAGGTTCTTTCATTTGCCATCTATAACATAGTGTTAATATAAAACCGAAACATTTCAAAGATAAACTTTTACCCACATGGTCTCTTGCAACTGCCCCGTTGTTCTCCAACAATTCACTTCCGAATTCTTCATACCCCCATAGATCCCACCATCCATTTTTCTTCAATTGACGTTCTTCAAAGCTCTGCACTCTTGTGATGGATTCGCCGGGCGTTTCATCGTGTGATTCAGGCCCACGTTGATGTTCTAGCAGTTCAAAAACCTCTCTTCCGGTATTTGCAGACCTCTTCCTCGCAGACGTGGGACGTTCTAATGGATCAAAGCTTTCTGTTTCCTCGTTAATCACATCGATATCTTTGTAAGTACTTTTACTCTGTGAGGCTTCCATCTATTCTTTCTCCTTAATACAATCTGGTTTATAAGGAGTAAAGCTGGAGTTGGTTATCCTCATTGCAAATCAATGCGGTAGTGCAGTTTACAGCTCATGCGTACACGTTGCATCCAGACACCAAGCCTTAGATGCCTCAACGGTTGTTTTTTTTGGACTACAGGCAGGAAACTTCAACAAAACGACCATCTCTAATTCGATTAAAAATTACTTGTCACCGTCACCTTGGGATATGTCCTAACTGTACCGATAGTGCCTTCTAGTGTACCAAGGCCGATGGTACCAGTTGGAACCGATGCCACAGTGCTCCATCTTCTGGTAAACTGCTGGGAATATGCTGACTGTGTCGTCTGAAGTACGCCGGCTGCATCAGTGCCAGTGGCCCATATATATGTAGGAGATTGTGTGAGAACAGAATCTGTTGTGATTCTCTGTGTTGTTGAATCTTGTATGGAAGTTATGACTGTGATTATTGTAACTTCTCTCTGCGCAAACGAGAGTGCAAATAATATAGAGAATGTGAAGAGCCAACACTTGAGCATGCTTCAAAATGAGTGGATAGAAACGTAGATATGGCGCACTTGGTGAAATAACACAAGCTTAGTCTTGTGCCTTCTCCTGCTCAATTTATATACATCAGACATTTGCACTGGTCAGGAGAGGAATTCAGTAAAACAGGCATAACCCAGTCATATTTTTGGATCAAGTCTTGACACCAAGCGATTATGTGTACATGTTAAACTTTGGTTTCTTTTTCTCTGCTTTACATATTTGCTCTCATGGGATTTCATCAAAAATGCCTGTGCAACGTCGTTGAGAATGCTTGGTAACAGTCGTATGTAATGTGAACCACACCATTCTCAAACACACAGGGAATCTCATATCAATAGGTACTTTATACACCAACTCCCGGTACATCTCCTCCCCGTAACGGTGGAGGATTCCACTCTATCGTGGAAGTTAGTGATGATGCATCATGCAGGCGCATTTCCCGCTTACACGTTCGTTGCAGCTAATTCTACAGCAAAATCTCTCTTATGGAAAAATACCACAAGGCTCGGAACTGAAGCTGATGGGAACTTGTTAGATCATTTCACGTGTAGACTTGGCTCAATATCGGTATCTCCGCTGGAAGAATACAACATGAGCACCCTAGGTCTTGTCGTAAATGAAATCACCGGGAAATAATTACCAAGAACCTTGAAAAATGTATGTAACGTTGCAGACTAAGAAACCTCGTATCATTTTCAGCCTTTATGATACATTATGAGGTAAAAGATGGACATGTGTTACTCAGTCACATCGTATTGCCCTAACAAGTAGCATGTACACAGATGATCCCTTTCTGTTTCAGAACTCGTCGAGTGATGACAGCGTTGTTTTCTCTTTTCCCTTCCTTTCTTCTTTCAGCCTAGGCCATGAGAATCTCTTGAGCACACTGTGGAAGGGCCGCCTAGAAATTCCTCCGCCCACACAGCCTGGGAAGAAAGCAACAAAGGACGGTGAGCCCACGCCCAGGAAGCGGAAAGTGGAAATTCGGGCCTGCGAAAAAATCTCCCCAGAGAGGACTTTCAGCCCGAGACCGTGGTGATCAGAATCAAAACAAGTCATACGTAAATAGTTCTACAGAGATGTCAAAGATCGTTGTTCTTGGAGGAGCAGGGTTCCTAGGTTAGTTTTCACCTCATTTTTTGCCCCTTCATGGTTATACTGACCTCAATTCACTCAACAGGTAAGCGTATATGTCAGGCAGGTGTCAATGCGGGCTTTCAAGTGACCTCCCTTACGTTAGTATTTCCATTTTCTCTGATTGAACAGCTTGGCCACTAACCTGTCCATAACATCTAGTCGTTCAGGTAAGCCTCCAAGAGGTGTGACTCATCATGATGCCCACTGGTTAACCAAAGTTCAATGGCAAAGTGCAGATCTGTTTGACCCGTCTAGTTATAAACACCATCTTGTCGATGCCCACACTGTGGTGCATTCTGTTGGAATCTTATTAGAGAACCAGAACTACAAAACTGCTGTCAATTCCAACTCGTCCGTACTCTCTGAATTTGTGAACTTTGTTAAACCTTCTAATCCATTAGCAAAGATTCCACGTAATACGTATACTGAGGTGAATAGAGACTCGGCCTTGTTACTGGCCGAGACATATGTCGCCGAGACAAAAGTTGATTCACCATCTTTCGTTTACATATCTGCTGATCGAGGATTCCCAGGGCTTCCCTCAGGTTATATCACTTCAAAGAGAGAAGCCGAAGTGGAACTCTCACTTTTGAAAGGCTTGAAATGTCTATTTGCCAGACCGGGTTTTATGTTTGATGAGGACGTCCATGATGATACCATGCGTGAGACAATTCATAAATTTGTTGATGCCCTGGACTGGGGAAATAAAACTCTACTCGGTAGTCGTATCCCTGTGTTGAATGATCTGGTCAGACCAACTATATCAACCCAAAGAGTTGCCCATGAAATTGTTGATAGCATCCAGAATAACAGGTTCAACGGTGTTTTAAGTCTTGATGAGATGTTACATAAATAAAAGAACAATTCTCTGAAGATTGATGAATACACGCCTATATACTCTATTTCTTTGCTCTGAATGTTTTTAGAGGATCGTTCTTGTTTCCTTTCTTCTTCCCGCGTCTCTTATTGACTCTATTCTTGTGGAATGGAACGAATCCAATATTCGACTTTGAGCTTCTCGCACCTTCAGGTAAGAGATAATCTGGAACTCTTTTCAAATGCGTTTGAACCTTTGCAGAGTGTAGCTCCTTGTCATGTCTCAAAGATGCTAAGTCATCTGGGTTCTCTTCAAAATGCCTCTTCAATTTTTCGTTGGTCAACAGTTCGTTCTTCAGCTCCTTCACCCTGGCTTCTCTGATAGCCACTTGGGTAACTGCTCTGAATGCATCTTCTGATCTGTAACGGAACCCCTCAACTTGCTTCATGTCAAATTGATATGGCTTGACTTCAAACCCCAATTTACCCTGTTGTTTCAAGATACGACGAAGAATCTTTTCGTCCTTCTTAGCAGTCTTCAACGAGGCAACCTTGTGTTTGCCAAATTCCTTATCAGGTATCACAAAGGACAGAGAGATACCACTCTTTCCTGCACGTGCAGTTCTACCAATACGGTGGACATAAGACTTTGCCGTTGTTGGAAGGTCAAAGTTCAAGACACATGCAACGTTTTTGAAATCAACACCACGAGATACACCATACTCCTTATCCTGTTTGGATTTGATATTAACATGTTTGGGTTCCTTTGTCTCATCTTGCTCTTGTTCTTCATCTTCTTCCTCATCAACCTCCCTGATGTGATCCGAATCGTCGGTTGCAATCAACAAGTTGTACACGTTCTTGTTGAATTCATCGACAATGTGTAGTCTAGAATTGACAGGTAATTCAGAATTAAGAATACACGACTTAACACCAAACTGTTCCAAGAACAATTTCAGTCTGTAACCTCTGTCTATGTTGTTGACGAAAATCAACGTTTTGCCCTTGATCAGATGAAGTTTGAAAATGACATAGGCCAAAAGGAACTTATCAAATTCTGTAGTTCTAGCGTAGTACTGTACCAGTTTAGACTTGTTGTTGAGCTCATCGTCGTTCAACTTGAGCACTGCAGGTAAACGACAGAACTTTGCCTTTAAATCGTTAATGTCCTCGTTTAGTGTTGCAGACATGAGGAAGGTCTGCAATGTCTTCAGGGGCAAATAGTTTGCCAGTTTGTCCAAATCATCTGAGTAGCCATATGAAAGGATCAAATCAACCTCATCGATGACCAAATATGTCAGGTTTTGCAACTCGATATTGCCTGTGTTCTTTTCCAAGAAGGACATCAATTTCGAAGGAGTGGAGATTATAACCTCTGGGTTTTCCAAGAGCAAGGAGGTTTGCACCGAGTCACTCACACCACTGGCTAGGTTCAACAGCTTGACCTCCTTACCACAGAATGCCACCAGCTTCCCCATAAACGAATGGACTTGTGTGGCTAGCTCTCTGGTGGGAACCAAAATGATCGCTTTGATCTCATGTTCCTTCGAATTGCTCTTTTGCGCAAGTATGCTCTGCACCACTGGAACTGCATAGGCCACCGTCTTTCCAGAGCCAGTAGATGCCTTTGCGATGATGTCCCTCTTCTCCTGCAAGGCCAATGGAATGGCCTTTGATTGGACCAACGTTGGGTTCTTGAATCCCAACTGCTTAATGGCCTGGTTCAGACGAGGGTCAAGGCCGAAAGAATCGAAATTGACAGAGCTGTCAATGTAAACATCAGCAACAGCAACACCAGACATTTTCAACTTGGATTATACAGTCTAATTCCCGTGCCAAAGTTGGAAAGTCCTAGACAAATGGGATTATCAGAGCTTCAAGCAGAGTATTGGGACTGGGACAGAAGAAAAAAATTGTCCAAAGGGAAAAGTTTTCGAGGCGGTTAGGGACACACGCGAGATGAGCTTTGACACAAAAAAGAGACAAAGCCTTTAGTTTGGGAGGACATTTTGGGACAAAACAAATGAGAGGTTTAGCAATTGAATAAAATGGGGGTAGTTGTAGTAGTTTTTGGTATTTAGCAACTGGTTAAGGGTGTACTGGTGGTTTTCAAATATTTTAAACTGATGGGTGTTTACTGGGCTGGTTTTGATAATTTTGAGAAGTTACAATAAAAGATTCCTGGATGTTAATCTCGCTAATCAAAAATCTCATCTGTGAAATATTTATAGCACAATTTAAAATTTAAGGTGCAATTGCCCCAGTTGCAGCTAAATACAACCACACAGTGAATAATTCAACCTCTACACCATAACACCACCCGTGTAATTGTATTATAGCTGCCCCATCGCTAATTATGATATCAGTGCCTATACAAACACCACATCCGTACACCAACTAATACACCTGTAGAGCCCACTGGTACCAGAGCTGCTGTGGATACGACATCGAGAACCCCAACATCATCTCACCCGGTGCACACAATTGAATCTCCACTAATCAAAATGTATTACAAACACGCTTCCCTCAACGCAATCTCAATCAATTGTTTTCCAATGAAGCAAAACAAGCAGTTCTCGTCGATGAGTTGAAGGCCCGCTCATGTTGCTCAGTCAACTTTGATGCTGCGACGCACCCCACCAAGGGGCCACAAAAGAGATACGGGAAAATTTTTACAGGGCCCTGTAAAACGTTTGAAGTGAAGCAACCAAATTTGAACCATTCTGGTGAACAAAAAGTTGGCTGTGGGAGATTGCCACCGTTTGCTCTTTTTAGCTACACTTCTTTGCCCCCCTTTCCTCGGTTCTCATTTTGTAATGGCTTCAAAAGGTAGCACTCCGGTTCTTCCCTCTGACGGAGAAGACACTCCGTTGCTCTACCATGCACTCACTTCTCCTGCTGCGTACCAAGGACTGTCGAACTCACAACAGTTCAGCAGCGATGTTTCTGATTCTGAGGATTTTCACCTAGAGGATTCTAGAAGACCCTCATTCTTGGGATTCGATTTAACAGGCTCTCATATCAAACAGTCGAAGGAAACTGATAGGTTGATTATGTACTACCAGAAGAAGTCGCGAGCCAACATTGTCCGTGAACTGAGACCACAAAAGTTGATTGGGAGGATTGGGCCTCTATACGATTGGCAGTGCTGTTATAAGGAGGAGTCAGAACTGGAGAAGCTGCCGAAGCGAGTACGATCGTTCTATGAAGATCAAAACTCGTTGATTGAAAAGTACCAGGAGGTTGACAAGTTGTTGGATTCCGGCATCCACCATACCATGATCCAAAATTACAGTGAACGTAACGACGGTGAAAACAACGGGAGAAACGGCAGTCAACAGAGCCAGGATAACAACTACCCAGATTTGGATGCAAACTCACACCACGCGAGTGAACAGGCGTTGAGACCACCACGTCCACAACTGCACAGAAGAGCAAGCGCCGTCCCAGGTGATGTTGATTTGGAAACTGGCAATGTCCTTGGATATAACAAGGCTGATGAGATTGCCATGGTGAACTTTGCGATATTGGTGAATTTCTTTGCCAATATCGTGTTGTTGATTGGTAAGATGGTTGTTGCAATGCTCACATCTTCGATCTCTATTTTTGCATCTCTATTGGATTCGGCGTTGGACTTCCTCTCCACTTTGATCATTTATGCTTCAAACACATTGTCACAATCAAAACATTCAAAGGATTATCCTGTGGGGAAAAATAGATTAGAGCCAATTGGTGTGCTTGTTTTCTCAATCATCATCATAATCTGTTTTGCACAGGTTGGCCTAGAAGCCACTGAAAGGCTCCTCAATCACCAGGAGGGAGACCCCATCGTTGAGATTGGAATAACGTCAACATTAATTATGCTCGCCACAATCGTTTGTAAGCTGGGTTGCTATATCTGGTGCAAGTCTATAAAATCAAGCTCTGTGGAGGCATTGACACAGGATGCGTTAGTTGACGTTGTTTTCAACTTCTTTTCTTTGATCATGCCACTTCTGGGTCATCATTTCCAAATATTTTGGTTTGATCCTATTAGTGCACTTTTGCTCTCTATTTATATCATTGTCCAATGGACAGTGACATCTATTGAGCACATTTCAAATCTCACTGGTAGAAATGCAGACCCCGAAGATTTCAAAGTGATCCTTTATCTCTGCATGAGATTTGCTGAAAAGATACAAATGATCAAAGATATTAGTTGTTACCATGTTGGTGATTCCATTAACGTTGAAGTCGACCTCATCCTCGATGGAAGATTAACTCTGAGAGATAGTCATGACATTGCAGAGGCATTGCAATACACAATAGAGGCTCTCCCAATCATCAACGTTGAACGTGCCTTTGTCCATATCGATTATACAGTCGGTAACTTTAGAGGACATCTCACTTCATAGGAGGAGCCAAAGATATTTTCTTTCTTCTCCGACTATAAACTAATTGAATTGCACCGTCACTCCAGGTCAATACTGATGGTTTTTAACTTGTGGAAGTGGGATTGTGATGATGAAGATTAATCGGATTAAGTGAATTTCCAATCCTAATATATTCACGTGGTACATGGATCTTCGTGTACGTACATTTATATTCCTTCTTCTAGAGACGCAAAAATGTATAATACCTACAGTGTCTAAATATGTTTCAGCAAACGGCCTAGATGGTTGAGTGTTGAATCTCCAGGATAATATATTTGCTTTCATGGGAGTCTTGACTTCCGTGACCTTCATGGTTGCCTTCAAGTACCATTTTAGATAACTTTTACGATGCGATTGTGAATTCCATTGTTGAGATGCCTCATCGATTGATTGCTTTCAGTTAACAGACTTAACCAAAGTAATTGCCAAACTGTGAATCATCTAAGATCGGAAGGTTCCCTAAATAACCCAATGAGCAGAACTACAAGAAGAATATACAGGAGGTTTTCGCATTCGAAAACTGGTTAATGGACTCGTGAAAGAACTAGCAAACTATAATACGCATTGCTCCCAAAAAGATTATGTATATTATCTAATCACGTCCATTCAAGGATTATCAGACGGTGTATATAGAACGTATAGCTCAGCGTTATTTTACAATGTGTCATATCCTTGTGCTCCCGAGTCCTTGCTTGTCAACAACTAAGGGAAAAAGACCGCTGGTAAGACCACTGCCCATGATCTTGCATAACACCTTTGTTAGGAGAAGCATTATGCGTTACACTGCATACGCTTAAAATGTACATAGTACATATACACCTCAAGTTTACGAGTGCATAAGGATGAAGCTTTCACTGGTGGAGGCTTAAAGTTCTGAATTGTTAACACTTTTCCAATGTGCCAGTATCAAGGATCACACCGCCATACAAGCCACCGTTGACTCGAGCTGAGTCGTACCGCAAGTTTCAATGTTGTGCTTTATGCCTAGCTGGGTAGCGTTTACATAACCAGCATAGCCCTCCAACACTTAAAGGAATTCCAGCTGCAGTGTTTCAGATGCGTTTGATGAGGCTACACAATCCCATTAACCGTTGATGATATTGATGACTGTATACGTTCCGAAACGACAAAGGTTAGTGTAGAGTAAATTTCACTACGTTATATAACATCAAGAAGAAGAATTAGTTACCAGCAGCAGGGTATAATCATTATGTTACCTATCTTCTGATCATTGCTGACATACCCGTATGGTTTGGTCCATTTATACATCGGTTGTACCCGTTTTTCCATTATTGATCTCTCACGAATACTCCTGTTTCTTCCTCGGATAAGGCTTAATAGACTTTAGAAAAATGATATCCGAGAAGCCGGATGTCATCATTAGAAGTTACAACACACAGTGAGAACGGTCACGGTTCATGGCTCGTTTGGCATTGAATACTCCCATTTCAGACTGACAGCAACGGTTCCTGCTTTCACTACCCGTGCTGGCCTGAATTCCTCATAACTTTGAAAATTTTGATCTTTGTGATGGCACACAGATTAAGGTCCCCATCCTCAACTGTTGGACTTAAAACATTGTCCTAAGAAATGTGATAGTTCTGTGCTGTGTTCCATAAGAATACACCAATATTATAAACATGGTATGACACTATAACGTTCCGATTAAATGTGACACTAATCGATATCTTGACCCGACATATGGCTCTCATGAGCCGTTTTCCTTTGAGTACAATACTGCTTCAAGATTCAAAATACCCACGGATAGACGAGCGATGTCCTTCGCAGTATGGCTGTGCTGCCAGCCCCAGGTGATATGAACCGTGGCAGACCGCTCTGCATTGGGTCCAAGGAGCGAACCATTTTTGTCGGCAAATAGGCTACAGCCGTATAAAGCGCGGTGGCTTCTCAAAATAATAAGACATTCTGACTTGCCCACATGGGGCCTGATATCTCGACATGGATTCTTAGGTTTCAACGTGTTGATGTTTAGGGTTGCCTGATGGTGGATTTTTCTGAGACGATCTAAACCCATGCAGACTCTTTAGCCAATGCTGGAGGGCAAAATGTTGTATAGACTGGGAAACCATGACATGGCCACATTAGATTACAATCTAATTTAAATTACACATTGTGCAGATCTTTATTATTGATCAGATCGACATCGCAGATTATCGCGCTTCAATGATACGACTATGGCGTAATAACAAATTGTTACAAATTAGTCACAACAGGACCAGGATTCTAGAGTTGTACCAGAGTTACACTTGGCCAAGTTATCAAGATATTCTTGTACTTGGACTCAATAAGTCCTTCAAGAGGACACTACAGCTGTAACAAGCAAGAACCAGTTGTATAACGTGTATATAATTCCATAGCAGAAGTCGGCCATTAAAAAAGCGTGCCAACAATTCCAAAAATAAAGACCACCACCCCTAGACAGAACTCCAAAGGGTGGATCAACCAAAGCAAACATTAAAGTAAGACCCAAAGCAAAACAAAAACAATAGAAACAATCAAAAAATAAACAAATAAGAAACGATTAAATGAATGAGCGTAAGAGCGAGAAGTGATCATGTAAAAATAATACGGATGATGAATCCTAGTGATAATACATGAAAGGTTATAAGGTACTAGAACCTCAAATGTTGATGACGTTGAAAAAGATGACAACAACAATGATAGTGATGTTAATAACAATGATGATGACCATGATGATGGTAATGATGACGGTGACGATGAAGATAATGAAAACATTGGAAAACGAAAACACCCATTAGAAAATCATACCAACAAGAGAACCAGCTCTTGTAAATTAGAAAGATAATGAGATAGAATCACATATAATAAATCAACGGATGAAAACGTTTTCATGACTGTTTGACTTTGGAGCTTCAGACTTGAAGAAGCAGTACTTTTGCAGGAAATCGGTGTAAGACGAATCGTTATTTTTCAAGTTTTCCTTTGAATCCTTTGGTGATACATAGCCAGGTAACGCCATTGGCTTGAAAGTAGCATTATGTGAGGTTTTGGCAAATGAAGCTGAGAAAGAAGAAGGGAAAACCTTGTCAGATGGTGTGCTGCAAACGGTGGAAGGGTCACTAACAACACTCTTCACAGTTGGTTGCCAGTATTTGTACTTGTCTGCAGAAGTATTGAAATAGTCAGTGTCATCAGAGAAGTATCTTCCAGAGGTCATAACCTTTGGTGGGGAATTGATCTTAGCAGAGACAAAATTCTCGTCAATATACGATGAGCTCTTTGTATGCTTCCTTGGTAGCTTCTGTTTCTTTTTCAATGTAGACACCAACTGGAAGCGATAGTTCTGACCACCATTGTTGTCGTAATATATATCTTGACCATTACTGACGTACTTGGCACAGAGTTCCACCGAAATTGGCTGTGAAGAGTTTTTGCGTTGCATACGCTTTGAGTTCATCATAATGGTACTGTTTAGATCAATCTCAAAGTTGAACTGATCAGTCATAGAATCGACAGAGCGAGCATAAGAGGCGGTAACCAAATAGATCGAACTCCAACAATCAGTAGAGAACTTTATCTCAACATATTTCTCAAAATGAATGTTACGAACTTGAACTGATCCCACTAGTTGTGTACCTCTAACAGCCAATGAAGTAAGCTTCACAGCTTGAGGTCTATGGTGAACGTTGAAGAAATCATAATTTGTAGCACGTAGCTTCCATGATGATTGGCGAAGCTTCTTCTTGTATGAGAAGTAATCCTCTTCAGAGTCAGAGTCGTCAGATGATGTGTTAAAGTACGAGGACGACTTTAGGTCAAAGAAGGCCTTTGGCTCCTCCTCGTAATCGTAGTCAGAACCTGATGGTGAGGACTCTGGTGAGTTGTCCAATGAGATTGATGAGGGCTTTGAATGCTCGCTGAAAGTCTTAACCTCCAAGTGAGCGGAAAACCGAACTGACTTAGCCGCCGATGGTAATGACTTTGAGCGGTGTAAACCTGGTAATTTGAGGGAGGATTTCAAACGTCTTGGTTTGCCTAATGTAACATCTGTAGTAGTACTCTCAGTGTCAATATTGGAGTTCAAACTCGACAACGAAGTTGTGGAAAAGTCTTTGGCGTCCTTTTCCTTTCCAATATTTACATGTTCAACATGAGCGGTGGAATCTCTTGCGGCAGCTTGTAAATCCAATGTCGAATTTGAAGAGGAGAACTTCTGAACCATTGTAGCAATAGACGAGTTGGAGTCGTTGTAAATTTTTTGTAATTGCATGCGATCTTTGCTTGCTTCGTCAAATGATGCCAGACTTGATGATGACGACATAGTAAGTTCAGGCGTCGTGGTGAAGTCTGAGTTCGAGTTAGCCAAAATCAATGAATTTTGTGGCTTCAAATGTTCCTGTTCATTATTCAAATTCAAAAGGAATAGAGACTCCTTTGTCAAGCTTGGTAAACCACCATCCTGTGATGACACTTCAAGAGCGTCAAGAGCCATCGAGAGTGCAAGAGGGTCACAAACACGAGGGGTCCGGTTTTGTTGATATGTGCTTGACTGTTGTTGTGAAGATGCAGTTGACGAAACCACAGAGCTCTTAGTCATTCTCCCTCCTCAAATGTATATTTAGATATCCGTTGTTGCTTTTCCTGTTTTGAGAATAAGAGAAATGCACACGCGGTCAGTTGCAATCCGATTCTGAAAGGGATGCAAAAAACAGGAAAAAAAACACAAGCGATAAGCGGCAAGCGGAACCAGAAGAAAAAAAGAACAAAATAGACGGGAAAAGGCCGTGAATGCTTTCCGTCAAAATAGAGAGTTCCTTCTAATTCAACAAAGTATCCCCAGTGTTAGTTATAATGTGTAACTGTTCAAAGGGAACAGGCGTGTAACAGGGCAAGAACGAAAAAAGAATCAACAAAAGCTAAGGTGCGGGTAAGCGTGCCTTCAGGTTTCTCTGGGATGCAAGTGTGTGGGATGGAAAAAAGTTGACAATGACAGAGTAATGTAAGGAAAGGAGATGCCAATACAGAAGACCCTCAACACTTCTTTTGCAGCTTGTTAACTTTCTGATGATGTACACAAAGTGGTATTGATCAACAACAAACAAAGGACCAAGGAGTGTTGTGCGTTTTTTGTAGGAATGGGATTCAAAGGTGTTTTTATAAAGTTGTGGTTTCATTTTTAATCCAAAAAGCTTAAAAATTTTTTTTGGTCTTTTCCCCCCTTGAAGAACCTTGGTGGGTAGAGAAAACGCACCTTGCGCAAGTTTTTTTTTGTGTCGCCTTATCCTCCTGGAGCTCTGGCTTGATGGCATGCAGGTGTATGTATAAAGTTGGAGGCAAAGAGGAGGCAAAGAGGAACCAAAGAAGAAGGAGAAGATGCATGAATGTGCATACTGGTTGTACGAGATGTTAACATCTTACAAAAGGTTAATATGCATTTGCTAGCATACAATCGAGAGCTTAAAGCTATGACTGAAGTTGTTGATACTATGAAGCCCATAGGTAATTTTACTACGACTGTACAAGCCTATGATCGAACATATATTAAGAGAATACACGCGCAGTTACATTTATTGATTGTTAGAGTGAGAGTAATTATCACGATTATTCTTCAAATTGTAAACGCGTGGTTCCCTGTCATGGAAAAAGCCACACCACCCAGACGTGTGGTGGGGCCGGTAGGTGGTCAAACAAGTAACGACTCAGGACGAACCTTATAATTCGAGCGGAACGGAACACTTAACAGCGTCGTTACACGAAAACAACCCCCCCCCCACTACAGGGTACACTAGTTCGAAAGAAGAAAACAGAGACAGACAGACAGACAGACAAACACGAAAACTCTAAGAAACTCTGTTTTTGGATACGCATGTGCAATCAAACTCTGTTTTCCAAGGTGGAAAATGGCCAGCTTTTTCCCCCATCTTGGTTTATACATTTGCAAGAAGGGTGCCAAGTACCCCAACCGAATCAAACGCCGATTAGCTTGTTTACCCTAATATCAGGATTTGAGGAGTCAGGATTTAGAAAAATTCAGCTTGTCACTTTGTCAAAGCCTGCATGATCCACACAGCAATAACACCGGACGGACTCAGTTCAAAATAATCGTGTACGCAAAACCAAAGGTTACTGTCCTATGTTACTTTTCAAAAACTAATTAATTGTGCGGCGTCCGTACACTTTTATCGACCATCTTTTCCTTGTTCCATAGCTACTTGGCTCGTGATTTCTGACTGCGTCGATATTGACGGTGAACCGCGTCGGTTGGTCACACTAACGATAACACACCTTTTTTCTTGTCATGATCAGTGCTGACTGACTATCACTGAGTCTTAAACCTCGCCACCCACCAGTTCCTGGCACCACCTGGATGTACGTTCTACAGACTACACTGTTATCGGACTTTGTTTTCTTTTTTCTTACAGAGAGTTCTGATTGTGTTGGAGGTCTCAAATTACAACATGGAATCACGCAAGAGAAAACCAGTACGAACAGTAATGGAACCTTAAAAGTAGACTAATATCCCAGCTTTTTAATTTCAGTAGCCATGATTTCACAACCTTGTGAACCCAAATGCCATAGGAGATGTACGTGCTAAGTTTTCATCAGCAATGTCGCTTGAAATGGACTATCGAAAGCAGGATTTCTCACCTCTGATTTCGAAACAAACGCGGATTTCACATTACCCGAGATAAGCAACCAATATTGCGTTATAGGTGTGATTCGGATTCTCCATCAAGTTACAAAGAATTTACAACTTCAGACACCTGGTAATTGAGTTTCGTTTGTTTACTGATCAGCGTTCGGACTATTCTTATCATTATTGAACCTGAGATACAAGAGTCGTCAGATGTCTTAGCGTAGTACGATGCAGCTACTAGGATTTTTTCGCTGAATCGATCAAGTTCAGCAAGTAAAAATATTTTTCCCGCTTTCTTTTTTGTTGAGCGGATCGTAGCCAACATCCCTATATTAAATGAAAACTCAACAGCCAAGGACAATTAACCCAAAATAAAAGGGTGTGATCAGTGATCATCGCGTTGTCCTGAGCTTTATGAGGGGTGTAAAACTTTTGGAAAGTGAAGCGAAGTCAGTTTTGACAGGGTGATCACTGTAGTAGTCCGATCACTCTCCTTTGGCAATCTGTGGCGCGCTGTGAAACCTTTGTCACTGCAGCAGCATACAAACCTGTGAACCACCACATTATGCACTCAATATTGCTGTACTTGACCGCAAGAGCACACAAATGTAAAGTATTGCTGTGAGTCAATAACCCCGTCTAGTTTTTCCGTACTGTTGCTACAGTAAAGATTGTAGACATCAACGACACAATATTAATAATTGGTTAAGAAGATTTTTTGTTGAGGAACAACGTCGTCAAATTTAAACGAGGTGTGTGTTGTCTACGCTTAGATGCGTATATTGTACTTTAAAGCTGACTCGAAATTGAGTTGGTCTTGGTACTCAGACTGCTATAAGCAATTTAGTCAGATCAGCACATTTTTCCGCTGTGCATTATACAATTTTCGGGTAAAGATTCCATTTAAGGCGATTATCTAAAGAAACCAGTTCTGTTAACGTGATGATTACAGTTCAACAAGGTACATCAGATGCACATATGGACTTAACAGGATACCCTTTGATTTTCAGGATGCTCTCCAGAAAGCTGGAGTGCATGCTGATATCTGGAACTTTCCCAATGGATATTGCCTGATCTGTGAATTCTTTGAAAGGCGTTTTCTTGTGCCTAAGTTTTTTTTATAACTTCCAAGTTTATAGACAATGGCCACAAATACGCTTATCCGATAAGCAAAAAGTAGAAGCAAGTTCTACACTGTCTAGGTTATAACTTTAGCTAAATACTGTAACGTTTAGTGATTCATAATAGCATTACTATAGGCCGGGAATAGTTATGCCGTCTATTCCCAAGCTCAACCACTGTAATGTATGTTGGTTATAAGAACAATATTAGCTCCCCAGACAGTATATCACACAGACCGGTAACCCATAACGATATATCCAACACAAAATAGTAATGTAAAGGGGAAAAAAGTACATATCAGAAATGAGATTGATTGCATGGATACGAATGGATCGTCATCACTTCATACAGAATAAAACGTCGCCCCTAGTTATGGTCTGTCGTTCTTTGTCGAATATATTCAACTAATTCTTTTTCTGGAAGACATAGTAGACCTTTCACTCCGTTAACAAAGCCACACACCTCATCAACGTCCTTCTGAAATGATGTCTTCAAATTGTCAAATATTTTCTCGTATTTGTGCCTAAGGTCATTCGTGACCTTCTTGTTGATTTCCTCATTGATAAGACGTATCTTGGACACAAGGTCATCTGAAAATATATTTACCGACTTGTAGATCTCATTCTGTAGAGTGACAGTATATGCCTCAGATAACAGCTCATTTGTATACTCCAAGTCGCCTAGACATGAATTATTATTTAGCTGACCAGTGTGATTGTCAATGGCCCTCAAATCAATTGCGCCCCCGCACTGTGCCACATTTCCGTCAGTGATGGCACTATCCCCATCTGGGCTTTCAACGAGTTTCTCCACATTTGTGCTTTCCGCATCAGGCACAAAAGTCAAACCTGTAATGTTTTTAGAGCTCAGTTGTCCTGTGTCGGTACCAGGAGCTGTATATTTATGCTCAATTGGTTTGATTGTCATTTTAGCCTTACCAATGTTGGAGATTTTCTCAATACATTTAGGTCTAGACCTTCTGATTGTGCTCTCGCCTTGTGTTGACTTGTAACCATCGCCATCATAAGTAATAAGAGTTCTGTCTGCACCAGGTTGACTTGATTTAACAACAGAAGGCCTTTCAACTTTAGCTCTTGAAAGGGCCCTACTGTTGACACGATGACGCAGTGATATGATCGGAGAAGTCATTTCAGAATAAAACTCGAATCCTTGAGAATCAGGAATAACAACATCTAGATTGGTCTTTTCGAAAGTGCTAGCATCTTCAAGCTTCCGCTGAACGTTAGGCTTCTTGATTTTCTTGCAACTCTCAATGTCAAACTTTATGGTATGGGCTTTGGTGTAGCGTTTTTCGGTTTTAGCTGATGCGGTTGATCCCAAGTCAGAGTTAAAGTCCCAAATATCTTTCAAAGTCAGCACGCTCGGTTTGGCAACATGTTTTGTTTGTGATGTTGGTTCCTCTGAGGAGCTCAGCTTGCCAGCTACTTTAGGTTCAGATGGAATAACAGGTATAGGTTGGCCGCGTTTTGAGCAATGGGTGGTATCTTTTGTTGTGCTAGCATGATTCGATCCAAATAAGGAATCTGTTTGTTCAATTTCGGACGGCTCATTATTCAATCCAAAGGCTGGCCAAACCTTTGTACCTGGTGCTACCTCCACCAGACAGTCCTCAATGACAGTATCGGCATCTGACAGTTCTTGATCATTGTCTTTCGTAGTTACAACCTTTATAAAGTTCTCAGAAACACTGATTTTTCTCCGACAGGGCAATGGTGATGTGACTGTAGAATTGCTCAAATCTTGGTAAAGTTGAACAGCGTCACGGTTCGACTCCAAAATAATTTTAACTTTAGAGCCAGAAGATATATCAAAGTTGATCAATGACTTTGTTGACGGTGTATCAACCTCAAACTGAACACTTGAGCCGTATAATTGAACATTGATGATATCATGCCGGGGGATCTCGATGGGAGCAGAGACACCATCATGATCAACAAAGATTACAAACCACAGTTTGTGGACTTGACATGAACTGCTTGACGATTGAGACGACGAATCAATTTCCAAGTACAAAAACTTGTGAATTGACGGATCCGTACAAAAACGGTCCAAAAATTCTTTACATCTTTCATCGTTGGCATACGCGCCGAAGGGGAAAGAGTATCCTGGGAAAAGAGCCTTGGAAACAACCTGAGATGATAACTGTGATACCAATTCAACCAAATAACAGCACGTGGTATAATCGGTCACAGGATTGAACATCTTTGTGATTTCGCCAACGTTATACATGATTGAGTTAACCAATAACTGCTTAACACTGGAGTAATCCAGAAGAAAGACACATAGCAAGCACATGGCTTTCCAACTGTTTTCGTTCTTCAAAAGCACCTGATTGAGGAGCAGTTCGACCAAATGTGGTGTGTTGAAAGTGAGTCCGAAATCTGTACAGTCGATAAGGGCAAACCAGAAGGCATCATCGTCCTCTTGGGCAAAGTTTATACCGATTTTAACAACCAACTCAAGAAGCTTGGGATGGACTTTGGGGCCAATATTGGCTACAATCACATGGAAAAGATCCATAAATTCATGGTCCACTTCGCTATCTTCACCATTAACAAATTCAATAAGCTTGTTTCTTCTGTCTGCTGACAAACTGTGAACAGCAGGTTGTTAGCCGCCAAAGCATGCAGTAATCACCAAAGAGAACAGGTATCGATCTTTACCACCTCAAGAACCCGGTGTTTAGATTCCTTTCCTCCGCATATTTGGCGATACAAGCCAAAGATTCCTTATGGAACATCAAGGTATCATCCGCCATGGTACTACTAAAATTTGCGTACTTTTGCTGAAGATGAACATGATGATGTTGTTGTTGTTTACAAAATTATCGATTCTTTACATCTTAAATCTGCCCGTCAAGTCTGCCATTTCGCGCTCATTGCCAAACTCTCTCATTTTTTGTACTCATTTTTTTTTTCCTTTGGCCTGAACATTTTGTTCCTTCTTCGATTTTATCAATTCTGAGAGACTGTCATCGATTCTCAAAGGACAATGTCTTCTATCGAAGCGCTTACCGCCAAACTTAACCAGCTTGGTCTCGAGGAGGTCAAAGTGAAAGAGATCTTGAAAAACAAGAAGGTTTCTACAGCTTTTGAAGCCATTCTCACCGAGGCTACAGTGCCATTGGAGTACCCATTGGAGAAGCAGAAGAGACTGTTGCTACATCAAACCGCAATTTTGAGTAAAGGTGATGATATCCCAAAGCGTAGCTTGGTTGTTGATGGTATCTTGAAGGGAGACTTGAAGACTGCAACACAAGTTGATGAAGCATTCAAGTATGTCAAGTCTAGAGCGGATGACTCAAACGTTCAAGAGATGAACGACGTATCAGGTGTCGGTGTTGTTGTCACAGACGAAGATGTGAAGAAGGAGGTTCTCAACTATATTGAGGAAAATAAGGATGAAATCACCACCAAGAGATACCAATCATTCCCAAAGGTGATGGCTGAGATCAGAACGATTCCAGCACTCAAGTGGGCAAATGCCACTTCTTTCAAACCAATCATCGATGCTGAGCTTTTGGCTCTCTTGGGGCCAAAGGATGAGCGTGATGTTGTGAAGAAGGAAAAAAAGGCAAAAAAACCGGCTGGAGATGCCAAGGGTTCGAAGAAGGAAGAGCCTGTTAAGACTCGTTCAATGTTTGCCGAGGGCTTCCTCGGTGAGTTGCACAAAGTTGGTGAAAACCCGCAAGCTTATCCAGAACTCATGGTTGAACATTTGAAGGCTACTAAGGGCCAAGTTCATACCCGTTTCCCACCAGAGCCAAACGGATTCTTGCACATTGGTCACTCAAAGGCCATTATGGTTAACTTTGGGTTTGCCAAATATCACAACGGTGTCTGTTACCTCAGATATGATGATACCAATCCAGAAGCCGAGGAGGATATCTACTTTAAGAGTATCTTGAAAATGGTTAAATGGTTAGGGTTCACACCGTGGAAGATCACATACTCTTCTGATTACTTTGACAAGTTGTACGAGTTGGCTGAGGATTTGATCAACCGCGATCATGGTTATGTTTGTAAGTGCACATCAGAACAAATCAGAGCTGGAAGAGGTATCAAAGAGGACGGTACACCAGGTGGTGAAAGAGTTGCATGTGTTCACCGTTCTCAATCAATTGAAGAAAACTTGAAAGAGTTTAGAAAGATGCGTGATGGTGCTTATAAGCCTGGTGAGGCCATCCTTAGAATGAAGATGGACTTGTCATCTCCAAACCCACAGTTCTGGGACTTGATTGCATATCGTGTCTTGGATGCCCCACATCCAAGAACTGGTGACAAATGGAAGATCTATCCAACTTATGATTTCACTCACTGTTTGGTTGATTCCTTTGAGAACATCACACACTCTCTTTGCACCACCGAGTTCTACCTTTCCAGAGCCTCTTATGAATGGTTATGTGATGCCTTGCATGTCTACAGACCAGCACAGAGAGAGTATGGCCGTTTGAACATCACTGGTACTATAATGTCCAAGAGAAAAATTGCCAAACTTGTTAACGACAAGTATGTTCGTGGCTGGGATGATCCAAGACTTTTTACATTGGAAGGTATCAAGAGAAGAGGTGTCCCACCAGGTGCTATCTTGAACTTTGTTAATACTTTAGGTGTCACCACCTCAACGACAAACATCCAGGTTGTCAGATACGAGAGCTCTGTGAGAAAGTATCTGGAGGATACCGTTCCAAGATTGATGTTGATCCTGGATCCTGTAGAAGTTGAGATTGATAACCTTGATGAAGACTTTGAGGAGTTGCTCGATATTCCTTACAAGCCAGGTAACGACAAATTTGGATCGAGAAAGGTTCCATTTGTCAAGAGAATATTCATTGACAGATCAGATTTCACAGAAGATGACTCTGATTCATCATTCTTCAGATTGAAACCAACCCAACCTGTTGGTTTATTGAAGGTTCCATTCAACATCAGCTTCAAGTCTGTTGAAAAGGATGCATCTGGCAACGTCACCAAAATCCACGTTAACTATGACAAGGATATCACCAAGAAGCCAAAGACTTACATCCAATGGGTTCCAAAGTCCGAGAAGCACAACTCACCAATCAAGGTTTCAGAGACAAGAATTTACAACCAGTTATTCAATTCTGAAAACCCATCAGCTCACCCTGATGGATTCCTTGCTGATATCAACGCAAACTCTGAAGAGATCTACAAGAACTCTGTTGTTGAGCCAGCTTTAAATGAAGTCATAAAGAGATCTCCATGGGACGTTGAGGATGCTTCAGCTAAGGAGTTTAACATTGTGGAAGACAAGGACGTTTCTGGCCCTGAAATTGTCAGATTCCAAGCCCTTAGAGTTGGTTACTTCGCACTCGACAAGGATACTACTGATGATAAAGTTGTTCTCAATAGAATTGTCTCCTTGAAGGAATCAACTTCTAAATAGATGGTGCCTGTATAATTGAAACAATGCCACACACCCCAACATCTATACGCACACATGCACAAAAGTCGTAGAGCCACACTCAATTGGTGTCCGGGTGTGAGTAGAAACAAAATGGTTTGGGCAGCATCACGATTTTCAGTCTGCGCGTGCTGGGGCGGATTTTTCATCTTTTTCTTTCTTCACACAAGAGGACTCGTCCAGTTGAAAGGAAACACCACGTCAAAGCAAATACATCAAGATGGTAAGTTTATGCGCTTGGAAGAGATGAAAAGAGACAAATGAGGTACCTGTGATATGTAGTGGGTGCTTCATGTTTGGTATCTGCAATAAAAACCCTGAGAATGTTGATTACGGATTGAAGATTCATCAAGGAAACCGAAGAGTCCATTGAAGATGGTGTCGAATAACTTTGTCACTAACTGGAGTATATTTACTTCATCGAGGTGTAATGGATGGCATTTATCGACCACAAGATACATTATCGATTTGTCGTTGTCACTTTTAGTCTCTTCCAACCCGAGTTGAATAAAAAGAACTCCCGCTAACAAAACATCTACAGGACACTAAGACCCCAGTTACCCTTGCTAGAGTTAAGAAGGTTCTCGGTAGAACCGGTTCCCGTGGTGGTGTCACCCAAGTCAGAGTTGAGTTCTTGGACGACTCCTCTAGAACTATTGTCAGAAACGTTAAGGTATGTCTACATCACCATTTCCCTCATTCAAAACGATCAGGTCAACTAACAACTTCATATAGGGTCCAGTCAGAGAGAACGACATCTTGTCTTTGATGGAGTCTGAGCGTGAGGCTAGAAGATTGCGTTAAGACCACTTTACAGCTATACTGGAAGTCATTTCTGCTACAAACATGGTATTATAATGGAATTGATTGAATGTACATTTGTTTAATTATTTGAGCACCCTTAAACTGAGATCCTGCCACTAACAGACAGACGACACACACAACACCATAATCTATGGCCATCTTGTGCTAACTGATTGTTGTTGTTTTGTTGTTGTTTGTGCGTGTGAGTCTCTTCTGTAGAATTTTTCGCAGTCACAAAATTCCCAAATAGGCAATATTACGCAAACACCCGAACATCTAGTGAAATGTCGCTCGAGCGAGCACAGTTTGAACTTTTCACCATAATATTTCACTACACATCACCAAATAACCCCAAAAGAGGAGTACTTGATCAAACCAAGCAAGGAAAAATGGCTCAAAGAGTTACTTACAGAAGAAGAAACCCATACAACTCTCGTTCTAACAAGATCAAAGTTGTTAAGACCCCAGGTGGTGTCTTGCGTGCTCAACACGTAAAGAAGACCGGTACCAGACCAAAATGTGGTGACTGTGGTGTCGCTTTGCCAGGTATCTCCTCTTTGAGACCAAGAGAGTATGCTCAAGTCTCCAAGACCCACAAGACTGTCTCCCGTGCTTACGGCGGTTCCAGATGTGCCAACTGTGTCAAGGAAAGAATCGTTAGAGCTTTCTTGATCGAGGAACAAAAGATTGTGAAGAGAGTGTTGAAGGAACAAGCTGAGAAGGAGAAGGCTGCTGAGAAGAAGGCTGCTGAGAAGAAGGCTGCTAAGAAGACTGCTAAGAAGTAAATTCATCATCAGAAAGAGTTCAAAGATTAGGAGGAATTTTATTGGTGTCATGTTTTCGCAGTTTTTTGTTGTATTTTGTTAGTTTTGTTTTTAACATCTAGAGAGAGCACTGTTCTTTACAGAACTTGATCTCCTCTATTCATCTCTGTTCATAATTGGGTTAATGGGGTTTTAATTTCACGTTACGATCATGTTTTAATATCACAAAATTATGTAGTTTTGATCTTTGACACAAGGTATACCAAGTGATTGCCGAAATTTGCATCTCTCATTTTTTCTCCTAGTTGATTGTTATTATATCTCAAGGGAACATGAGCGGACTCCCGTCTAAGTACTCAGACGCTGGTTTGAGTAAACAGGATCAGGAGCGTATCCTAACGGTGGGCTCACCTCGTCAAAACCGACCAATTGGTGCTATAAAGATCGAAGAAAGAGTGAGTGATGCGCTTGTCCATCTCACTGAAAACAGCGGTAGCTTGAATAGAGATGATGTGCATTATGCACATGATTCTGAAGGAGATATACCCATAATTGGGATGGATGACGAGCAAGAGGTACAAATTGTCTCTGACTTTGTCACTGAGAGGAGAAATGAGGCAGGATTTGTATCGTTATCTTCGAAACCGATTCCAGAGCTCGATGATAATCCTGAGGTATTGCAGAGCAGAGACATTATGATGGTGATAGATACAAACTTCATCATATCTCATTTGGATATCGTGGATGATTTATCAAAACTGTATGAAAAGTACCACCATAGGATTGTTATTCCAGTAACTGTTATACAGGAACTTGATGGGCTCAAGCTTTCACACAAGAGACCGAAGGATGTTATCAGTGATATTACAGTGGGTCACCTTGCACGTTGGGCCAATGATTGGATCTATAGAATGCTTGCTGCTAGAGACAGCTCTGTAAGGGCCCAGAAGCTTCGTGAGTCAATTGATAAAGAATCGACCAAAGACGACGCCATCTTGGATTGCTGTTTGTACTTCAAAGAGAGAACGGGATCAATGGTGGTTCTACTGTCCAATGACAAAAACCTCTGTATGAAGGCACTGGCGAATGAAATCCTCACAGTGTCTTACACAAAGGGTATGACTGCAAAGCTCATTGCTGAAAAATCATTTCAAGAGAATATGGAGTACGAAGCAGCACATCATCATTCTTCCAATGTACCTGTCATAGAAAACGGGGGTGAAGATATCGAGATGAACGACAAAGAAGAGTCACAAACGACCGAGTCAGTAGACGGAGAAGCAACTATTTCCTTTGGCGATGCATCTGATCTTGTATTCTCAGAGATTCAGAAAGTTGTTCTTGAGGCGTTGGATGCAGTCATGTACGCGGAGTATGAAGACGATGTTGAGCTCATCGGGTACGACAAGGGTAAAGTGTTAACACTTGGTGATGCTCTGAAGGTCATTAGCCAATATTGGATCTCAGTGTTTACAGAATACTTCAAAAAGAGCTCGTTTAAGCCATCCAAGGGTAATGATAACAGATATAAGTATAAACCGCTAACTAAAGAAGAACTTGAAGATTTCATTCGTTACTGGAGTGGAATACTTACAGCTCTTTACGTTAAAAGGGATGAAGTGCAAAACAGTGCATTGGATAAGATAATTGAACGTTGGGAGTGTATAGCATCTACAGCACGTTGATGGTGTCTGTTCTGGCAAGGGTATTTTGGTTATTCATCTGTAGTGTGGAAACGTTTGGCAGCCTTGATTGGCGAAAATGTCTTTTGGTGTATGGTTCTCTTTCTAGGACTACCAAATGTCTGACGTTGTCTCATAGGTTGTATCGTGGCATCAGATGGCAAAGCTGACCCTTCTCTTTCTGATTCTTCACTTGTGCTTCCCTTCGTTGGTGATGCATGTAGCTGTGCTGTAGGCGTTGGTGTGTCTGTGCTATTGATAGTATGGTCTTTCATATGCTCAGAAAGAGATTCAACATCATCTAGTCTCTGTCTCTTTGGAACAGCATGAGTAGGCGATGCGTCTGTATCGTTGTTGCTTGGGCGTTTTGTGCCCATATTGTCCTTCTTGGTGTAGCTGAACGTTGTGCCATATGACCAGGTATTGTCAGTGTAGTTTGACCCTAGGATGTCCCAGATATACTCATTTTGGAATCGAACAAGCTTCTTCTTCTTCCAAAGCGATTCAAACTCCTTTGAATCGAACCTGGTGATGTGTCTTCTGTTGGAGGAGCGCTCTGGGGCCCATTTCTCTATCAGATCTGGCTGATTCATCCCACTAATCACTTCCAGAAGATACCTTATGGCGTTATCCTTTTGCCGTATAATCTTCACAAGATCACCTCTGTACTCGTTCATAGTATGGATGATGGTGGACTGGTAAAAGAAGAGGTTTTTCATGATTGTGATGGCAGTTGAATCTCTGAGTATCGTCAGATCAAAGCTCCACAGGAACTCAACATTGTCAACGTGCTTTGCCAGGTTCATCTTCAATTCCAGTGGAACTCCTCCATCCACTTTGAGCTTATCAAGTGACAAAGCAGTTTCATTATCTGATCCATCAAAGTTGTTTTCGAACGTTATCAGTAATTGCTTGTAGACGTTGTCTAGAGACTCAGCATCGTACCCAAACTGTGACGCCTTAAAGCCCAATAGAGCAGCATCAACATCGCCTATCCACACATAACTGAAGTCAGTGAGATACACACAGTACTCAACCGTATCCAAAGAGTAGTGAACTCCAAGAAAGTACTGCTTTCTGTCTAACTCAACAACAGTCCATTTACGAGGTAAAGTCATCATCGTGATCAGTGGCACCAGCCTTCCTACAGAGTGCAGTTTTAGTAGGGGGGTTCAAGCAACGGATCAAGAGGTAAGCAATGGATCAAGACGTGGAAGGCAGTTCGACAGCAACTTACCAGCAAGGATTCGAGATGGCTGGTGGGTGCTAAGCGTCAGTGTCTACCATTCGATGGCTGGCTCTCTATGCTGTTTCTGGAAGATTTCCACTTTCGGGGAGATTCATATACTTCTACACGATAACTCAAGCACATTGTAATCAATGTTCAATGGGGTGTTTTATGGAAAAGACAGCTATGTACATACGGCACGGTTTATTCAATCTTCTCAGATAAGTCATCCATTTCGTAGGATTCCAACGGCTGCGGAACTGTAGCTGAGTTGTCGTCGAGTAAAATGCTAGCGAGGTGTGCCTTTATTTGCTTCACTAGAGCGTGGAATGCGAGGTCCAACGGCCCCCACAAGTTCAGAGTGTTCACAAAGAAGAGCCCGGTACCAATGAGAATGGCAAGCACCAAGTAGAGAGGGTTGCGCAAGATAGCCATGAATTCGTTCCATCCCAAGACGATCAACAGAATGTACATGAATGGTGGAATCTTTGAGATGTTTGAGATGATGGAACGCGACGCATCACGGTATGATACCTCAGCCTGTTTGAGGAAGTCCTTCTTGACTCTTAGCTGTTCAGGAGCAGACAAGATGTGTGAGAACCTGTGTGGATGCACATCCTCTTCATCCTCATCGTCGTAGATGTCATAATCAGGAATGATCTCTGAATCGTTTGACAGTTTAGCAATGGACAGCAGAGGAAGCGACTTTAGTGCGTGCTGGGAGGCCTCCCTATACGCAGACGAGATCTCTGTTTCGTTCTTCCAAACCCTTGGGATGCCAGTGTTGTCATATGTGAACACCTCATCGAATTGACGTTTGAGAATGTTCACAACGTTATCAGGTCTAAGATAATCGTGTATGAAGTTGTCAAAAGACAACCATGATTCCTTGCCGATCTTCTGAACTATTCTGTCGTTTTCCTCTGGGGAGCAACCCAGTTTGAAGTCATAAGTAGAATCACTGGTTTGATACTTTGAAAGCGATAGTTTCAACAGCTCTCTGAAACTGTCCAAGACCCTGTCCCACATCTCAATATCCGGGGCTGCAAATGAATCTACCGTTTCATTCTTCAATGATGGAACCAATTTCTTAGCAATACGAGATGTCAATGTGTTAATCTCTTGTTCCCTCGAACGTTGTATCTGCTCCTGTAACTTGGAACTAAATTCTTCCAATTCATTTTGATATGTGAATGTTTCAGGATCCAATTCATTGACGGGCTCAAGCTCTTGGGAGAAAGATGTCAATGCGATGGTCTTTGCATCGGTTGATCTCTCCAAGAATGTGGCTTTTGTAGACTTGTCGTTTAGGCTTTGAGTGAACTCTGAGAAAGCTGATTTCGACAACTCCTTGATGAACTCCTTGAATAAAGTGAGCAGCTTTGAGTTGATACTTTTCGTAAGCGCATCTCTCTTCGACGTGTAAACTTCCTTGTTATAATGACCCGCTTGTAAGTCATACGTACTCAATGACAGTTGCAGCAGCTTCTTGAACTCATCAGCGAGTGAAGCACCTTTCAAGCCATCCAGTTTTACACCACCAAACGTATGTTCGAACTCAGAGTCAAACAATTCCAAGGTCTCCTTGATGATTTCATCACATCTGAATCTAGCGACAAGGATTTGTTGTGTTGGGAGATCTAAATCCTTATTCGATTGGATTTGGTTCCAGCAGTTCTCAGCGTACACTGACCACCCATCGATAGGGAATGCTTGGTGATAGTCCTTCTTAAACAAGTAATTCTCATCTCCAGGTGTGAAACGATCACCCAGTGAACGAACATCCTCGTGGAATTGGTGCTCTTGCAACACTTTATGACTCAGTCCGACAAACTCCAAGTCAAAGTACTTCGAAAGTGGAGTATCGGATGCCACAGTGGAAGGTTTGGCAATGTCATTCCACATCTTGTGCAAGTCCTGGGTCAGAGTATTGGATAAGTTCTCCAACGGAGTGGAACCGACATGGTCTCTAATGACAAACAGCAACAGCATCTTATGGTCCTTGTCACCAAACAGCGAGAGGTTGACTTCGAACACCGTCTTCAACAGCCCCATGTTGGCACCTTGGTAGAGCCCAACCTGGTGTTCCCAGATGTTCACAATCAACACCTCTGAGGTGGCCAAGGCAAACAGAGCTGCTTTCCTCTCAAAGTCCTGGTCTTCTCCACGCTCTCGGCCATCAGAGCCTTCAACATCCATCACAAACACATGCTCCTTACCGAGCGATGTCGAGTGTGATTCAACTTTGGGGGAGAACCCCAGCCAGATGCCCTTCGTGGTCTGTTGTCTCTGAGCTTCGTTCATAACATCGAACTTCGTGTGGAACAGCGCGTTCAGTAGCGTCGACTTCCCCGTGGACTGCGAGCCAAACACGGAGATCACATGGTAGTCCAGTCCCATGTCATTTGGCGACACCTTGGACAAGTATGCTTTCACGGAGTCTCTTCTATTGGCGGTCACGGGGGACACCGCTTGTTAGGAGCAGCTCCAAAGAACAGCGCACCAAAGCACGCACAGACACCCAATACTCACTGAAACTCCTTCGCCTCGTCAATCACCTGCACCGAGTCGTTTGATACCTCAGACATTTCCCCTTATTCGCAGTAATTGTTCCCAGTAATCGACCGGTATTATTGTCTGTCTCGTGGTGGAAGCCTCCAGCGTGGGCTTTTTCACGGGCCGCCTTCCCCTTATAAAAATGCCCCAACTTTGGCGGGAGCCCACACCAGAAACGAGGAAAAATACACAGAACCCAGCCTAGAAACCCACTCGCCAGGCAGGCTCTTTCCATCAACACAACAAGGAGGTTCAGCGTAAAGTGCACCGTCCACTGCACATCTGCTTCTGTTCCCACGAAATGGCCACTGAGATCAACGTTTCCAACCCGAAGCTGAAGAGAACGCTGCTTCGGTTCCAGGCTAAGATCGCCGAGGGCGACTACTACGAGGCTCATCAGACTCTTCGCACGATTGCCAATAGAAACGTCCGGTCCAAGTCGTATGGCGATGCCATTGACCTGCTGTACCACGGGGCTCAGATTCTGCTCCAGTCAAGCCAGCCGGCCACAGGGTCTGATCTGACGAGCTATCTGATTGATGTTTACAACGAGAGCGACACCAAGGTGACTACTGAGTCGAAGGCCAGGCTGATACAGCTCATTTCCCTGTTTGATCCCCAGGAGCCCTCTCTGAAACACGTTGGCGTGGAGGCAGTCAACTGGTCCATAAACCACGGTGAGTGTCAATACGGTGATGGTGATATCCACAATGCTCTGGGCCAGAAGTTTGTAGAGTGTGATTCCTTAGCGTATGAGGCTGAGAGACATCTGGTCTTGGGCAACTCCCATTCTCTGGACACATACGTCAAGCACATCTGGTCATGGTACCAACAGGACTCTGAGAAGAGCAACATTGGGCTCTACGTGTCAAGATGCGTGCTGAACTACTTGTTCATCCAAAACGTCAAGAATGCGAACCAAGCATTGGATGAACTTTTGACGCTATTCACAACGGAGTATCCGTCGTTCAAGTACGAGCAAATAACGGAATCCTCCGTGTCAGTGAAGCTCTTCGACTCCCTACCTCTGCTGAACTTTGTGCAGTTCCTTCTAAGGGTGGTCTCCACCGGCGATCCTAAACTGTTTAATGTTCTCGTGGGACGCTATTCACCAACCTTGGACTCGTGTGAGCTCAAAGATGCTGTTGCCTACATCGGTCAGTTGTACTTTGGAATCCAAGTGCCTAAACAGGTTAACCTACTACAAAACTTGATGTCTGGGTTCCTCGGTGGTAGATAGCACTGTTGCTCTCCTTGTGCTTAAGCACCACTATTCAGCATTATCTGCTCAACTGCCTTTGCGAGTTCCGGTCTCTTATTACTCTGCAAACTCTCAATCGCATCTTCAAAAGTGAACCACTGTCTTTTCCTAGTTGCACTTTCTGGGAATTCATCGTGTAGCTCCTTAACCTTCATCTCGTAGAGGTGAAATTCCGATCTTGGTGGGTTCCTCAAGACGCCATTGGTCTCCTTCATGGAACCCTTAGCCCATTCAGCCGGTGATCTTAGATCTGGAATCACTTGCAACTTTCTCACAATAGTTCCTATAGCACCAGCTTCTTCCCACGTTTCTCTAATCGCAGCCCTCACGTAGTCGCCGTCATCATCTTCATCAGTCTCAACACCTCCCTTTGGTAATACCCATTTGTTGTTGTTACGCGACGAGCCAACAAGGAGTACTCTATCCCCAGCTTCATTCACACACACACAACCACTCACCAGACGAGCACCTGTTGTTGTGTTGTACACTTACAAACAGAGAACAGTTAGATCGTATATCATCTTTCAAACACATTTGGGGGTCACTTACACTGGTTCTCACGTCCTTCACGTGCGGTTTTGGTGTATTCAATTGACATTGTTTGCTCCTTAAAGGGTTAGATTTTGGGGAGAAGAGTATGAATTTTGAAGGCTTTTTCACCAGTTTTATATTCAAAGAACTTAAAGGCTTTGGCCAGGATAACAAGAATGAATCAACTGCCCTCAGAGTTTGGGAATAAGGAGCATGATTTTGAGAGAGATGACTCGGTGTATGAGAGATGGCTGAGGAATGATGACTTGGAGGGCAATCACTGTGATGGTGATGGTGATGGTGACAGTGACAGTGATAGCGATGATGACGATGATGATGAACTTCCTATAACTCATCAATTCAAGTTAAGCGGCACAAAGAGTATCACATGTCTCAAGTACCACCCTTCTGGCTCAGAATTGTACACAGCTACAACGGACGGGTCCTTGCTCTGCTATAACTTCAACTCAATGTCTGCTGAAAGCACTGAACCATCGCACAGCTTTGAGCCCTTTGAATCTCACCACATTCACAAGTTGGATATAGCTTCTCCAAGAGGGCCATTGTTGACATTGGCGAACACCTCAACGTTCAAATTAATTTCCCTAGAAGGTGATGAACTGGCATCATCTGCAACTGGTGATAGATACCTATACGATGTTAAACAGACAAGAGGACATACAGACACCATAACAGACGGTGGGTTCATTTCCAATGAGAAGGTTATAACCTCAAGTTTGGATTCAACTTTCCGTATATGGGATACGACTAAATGCTCTCAGCAGAGTGTCACTGTCGTCAAGGCAAATGGCAAAAAGACCAAAGTAAGCCATTTGGAATACTCTTCGGCTGGTCTGGCATTTGCAGTGAATGACAACAGGTTGACGTCATGGGATATCAATACAAAGATGATGAGACCAATAGAGGAATTTGTGGAGAAGTGCACAATTCTCAGCATCAAATCCTCTGAGGATAAGTTACTTGTTCGAACAGAGGATTCTCTAAAGTTGTACGACGTGAAGAACTTATCAAGACCACTAATACAGAGATTGACATACCCAAGTCCAACTGACGATTCCTTCACGGCTCCAATGTACTTCAATAATGATAAAATTGTCATTGCAATGTCGAATTCTATAGACATTCTGGATAAGTCAGATCTAATGACAATATCATGCATAAAGGCTCAACACAATGTTTCCTGTGCTGAATGGGAACCAAAGACAAATCAAATTGCTTATGGTCAGTACTTAGAAGGATCAAAGGGCTATGTAAGCATTTTATTCGATCCGAAACTGTCACGGAATGGAGTTATGGCTACGATTAACAACAGACCCAAAAAGAGACATCTTGATGATTCAATATTCACTTCCAAGGTTAAAGAAATAGGCTATAACATGGATGAGCTCAATGAATTGAAAAAGTCAAAGAAGAAGAAGAACGACGTCGACGAAGATCGGTCCAAAAAGAATACCTTAGTTTGGGGAAGAACTCAGCCCGCAGAGAGAAATATCAATGAAGATCCAAGAGAGGCACTGAAGAAGTATTCGAGGTAGAAATATCAGCTTTCAACCTCGTCAACCTCTGTGCGCTTCAACTGTGACAATATTTGTGCATGTGGATAACTACCGATATCTAATCTTGTCCAATTGACAATGTTGCCCTGTGTATCCAATTGGCTTATCGAAGCATTGCCACACTCTTTGTAGTAGACACTTTTACCCATATCGTCGTACATAATCAAAACCATTCTGTGTGCTTTGTTCACTTCAACAAAAGAGCTATACCAAGTATGAATACGGTACATTGACCTGGAATCAAACTCCAACAATCTCAACTCTTCAAATCTCGGAAGTGAATATGTCTTCATGGGTATAAATCCATCCGAGAAGACCATTGCGAGATCGATATCCATAATTTTCAAAACTTTCAACCATTTGACACTTCTATTGATGAAATTGTGTAATACTTCTGCTATTTTGAAGCATACTGACGTAGCACGAGGTTTTGTTCTCAAGTGTAACCACTTGTTTCTCCATTCTCTAACATTTAACCTATGGCCCCCGGTTTCTTCGTATGCAAGATCAGAATTCCAGTTCCAATGGCCAAGCTCTGGGTGTATGTTCTTATAGACCACTGGAGAGTTGATACTCTTGAACTTGAATTCAGTCAACTGATTGTTATGGCTAATTGTCGTGTCAAGTGAATCGAGATGAGCACGCTTTAAATTCCTGAAGCGTGATGTAAGAATCACATCCAAAAACCTGACATTTGATGGTATATTTCTCAAGCATTCAAATAGCAAAGGTAAAGAGTCCGTCAAGATGTATAACGTTACTAAGTTCGTACACATGGGCAATATAGAGCTCACATTGGTATTGAAACCTCTCGCATCGTTATCTCTGAGCCAAGTACTCGAAGATTTCACTTGCATAACACGCACATTCTTTGCGTTGTTAGGTTCCTCCAACAATGTCGTACAGAGAGTGTTGTTGTCAATCGTCTTTGATGGCTCAAACGTACTTAATTGAAGCACCTTTGTGCTGTACAACAAGGGCTGAAGAAATCGATGAATTCTCTTACACGTTAAGGCATAAGCTGTGATGTTGCTTCTTCGATAAAAGACATGTTTGGCAATGATGCAGTGAATCTCACGAGGAAGAGCAACAAACTCAATTGGTCTAGAACTATTTGTCATAGCAAGTATTATGCTTGATCGTGTATTAGTCACCATTGTGTCAAACGTAAACAAGTTAGAGTATACTTTTTGCTAACTATTCACAAATTATTATCCACATAGAGCACAAAGCTGAATGAGTTTTCAGTTCATCAGATAAAGCAGGTGAAAAGTATAGCAGAAATCACTTTAAGAATGCACCGTTGGTCAATTCCAACTCCAATTCATAATCAGGTTGGAACTCTGTATATAGGGTTTCTGGATCTGAAGTCATGTGATACGTATATGCAGCTTCTTCATCATCGATAATTTTCTTTTCAAACATTGGGTTAATCTTATCAACCTGCATTTGTACTTCACAGCATCTCTCCATGAGCGTGAAAAGGTAAGCAGCTTCATCAATGGTTTCACCAACAGTTAATAAACCATGGTTTTGTAATATTACACCTTTGCCGTTACCAATTGCTTTTGCGATATTGATGCCTTCTTCTTTTTCAAGCACAACACCACCAAAGTTTTCATAGACTGAATGTGCTTTGTAAAAGATGCACACATCTTGGTTGATCATCTCCAATGGTTTGCCAAAGGTGGAATACGCCTTCCCCCAAACAGAATGGGTATGACAGGCAGCGTTGACATCAGGCCTAGCTTTGTGCAATTCCGAGTGTATCTTGAATCCTGCAGCGTTCACAGCAGCCAAGTTACCACCAATGACCCTACCTTCCTTATCAACATGTACCAAATCAGAAACTTTCATCAGGGAAAAATGTGTGCCTAATGGGTTGATCCAAAAGGTCTCTGGATCAACAGGGTCCCGAACAGAGATATGGCCAGCAGACCCTTCAGCATAACCTTTTCTCCCAAACACTCTGAATGCGCCAGCCAAGTGTTCCAAGCACCAACGACGCTCATCGTACTTATCCTTGAACTCTGGCTTCTTATGACGATACGGGTATTGTCCTTGTACCAAGTTATGTATACCTTGCTCCCCGAGAACATGGTGGTGGTGATGTTCCTTGGTGTTTGGACTCAAGTGCAGAGTGGCATTCCCCACTGTTGTGGCGGTAGTCGCAGCAGTTGTAGAAGTACTTGACATTATCACGAATCAGTTCGTTACTCCAAAACAAATGCTCACGTCTCCAGAGAATATTCGACAGAGAAGCAGCTCTCTTATATACCTTATCAACAGATCGAGTTGCCCGTATCAACGGGGATTTTATACCAATTGTATGGGGAAAGCCACGCCGATAGCTCTTATTAGTAGCAAGAGGCGCGAAACCCACACACCACAAAACGCCGCACTTGTCGGTTTCCATTTTGAGCGAGTTTTCAGAACCTAAACGCGCAAACCACAAAAGCTCTAAACTTCGGTATCAACTTCAGTTAGAGGTCTCTTTGGTAAAAACCAGAAAACTCACAAAGTTGTGAAATCACACCAGAATGCCCTTGTACTCTGTAGAGGTTTTGACTGCAAGCTTTGGCCATTGTACCAAGAACCTGTGTGCCAAAGGGCGGCAAATCATGCCACTTGTACTTAGGCTGTTCACGCGCGCAAGGGACTCGATGTAGAAGATCTTTGTTGTGTGTGAAAATTGTACAACATTCAGGAAAGTGTAGAATATGGCCAAGGGTACCGTGGTTCCTGGACCGTTGAGCATCAGGATATCTGGTGGGTATTCGATATTGGGGAACACGTTGAATACAAACATGATCGACTTCACGGTGGATAGGAAGGAAGACACCAGCGGCTCACCAACTCTTCGTGCCCGTGGGAGATCGACAAAGGAGTAGCTTGCCCTCAGCGACCTTTCTTCAATGAACTTTGTCAACATCTTTTGAGATCCTTCGTCTCCGGTGGAGGTTACAAACGTTATGTGCTTGAGCGAATCCAACGACTTCACCGTTGACAGCATTCTCAACATCTCACCGGTGTGACCGCCGGATCCCAGAAACACCATAAGTGTTTTGTCATTCCAGGTTTTCCTGGAGATGGATCTGTTTAGGTTGAAACATGGAATGACAAAGCATAATCTCATCATCGACGCGGTATAACCAACCATCAACAGCGACCAAAATGGCCATCTATCACCACCCTCGGCTGTGGAATACAATTTCCACATCATGGATGCATACACACCAAGAAAAAGAATAAGATAGTTCATTCTGACGGGACGTACGCAATTGAGTGACTCTGATTGAAACACAATGTGTCGTTGTTTCGGATGGTTTGACCTTCCCTTTCGTGTGGAATATCAACTTTTGCAGAGGTGAAGAGAAAGCGAAAATTCCGAGGGAAAAATGGCCCTCGAGTCTCGAAATTTTTATGAACACCGAGCTGATTAAGAAGACGTGTTGTTGTTGTTGTTATCCTTTTATAACCAGTCCACCCATTATCGGCCACGCACGGTTAGACAACTCTAATGATTAAATCGACATTGATATACAGAACTGACGGTATGTAAACAAACATATTATCTTTTATTAACGCCCCCTCCCCTCTAACATGAATTGTGTACAGGTATCCCACTTGCAGGTTCAGTGGATGAGGACAGCGATCCTCAATTACTCGAACAGAAGAAGAAAGTGAAGTTTCTCATGTCAAGAATCACGCCAAACTCTCAGGATAAGGCATCCATTGAGTCTGGTGAGTTTCAAATACATTATCTAATATCCAACAACATCGTTTACTTCGTCATATGTGAAAAATCGTATCCAAGAAAGTTGGCATTTTCCTATTTACAAGAGATTGCACAGGAATTCTTCCAATCTCATGGTGCAGATGCTCTAAGACAGACAACAAGACCATATGCCTTTGTCAGCTTTGATAACTACATGCAAAAAACCAAAAAGTTGTACCAAGATGAAAGGGCACAGACAAACTTGGACAAGTTGAATACCGATCTTGCAGATGTGAAAACAGTGCTTCAAAAGAACATTGAAGATCTGCTCTATCGAGGTGATAGCTTGGATAAGATGAGTGACATCTCGAGTTCCATCAGAACGGAATCAAGCAAGTATAGAAAAGCTGCACGTAAGATTAACTTTGACCTGTTAATTAAGCAATACGCTCCTGTTGCTGGTGTTGGCCTGTTATTTGTATTCTTTATTTGGTATTTCTTCCTGAGAAGTTCTAAGTAATAGTACGTAATTTATAATGTTCATTCCTGATCGATGGACTTGTACTGGTGCCTCGTCTATATTTCAACTAGTTTCGTTGAGCAAAGGAGCATGTTCTGCTTTATGTGTATACCATTTTCAGCCTAAGCTTTAATGGAACCTTGCGAATGTTTCTCACATTTCATGAGTGAAACCATGGATTATGCACTGTTCATAGCTCAATATCTGCAATGGGGTTGTCCATTGGTAAGAATTAAAGCAGTGAAATGGCACATACTGTTCATAAGGGAAGTTTCTAAATCAGGGATAATGTTCTTTAGGTATTCCTAGAATGGAAATTTCAAGAGACTCAAACTATCATTAAACTATGGAAAGTGATTGGTTTAAATAGTGAGAGATACTTTAGATGCAACAGTGCATCAACACGTCCAAGTACAACCTTCAACTGTGCGAGAGCTTAATAAAAGCGCAGCAAAAGTAGAACATTGTGTGGTTCAAGACATTCCAAGACACCGAAAACTGATATCGGTGAACGTTTAGCCATGTCTTTTCTACTGTTAACGGATGTGTTCATGTGTCGATTGGTATTTTCCATGCGTATGCCTCTGTATGTGCTTCGTACCGTTACATCCCCAATGACAAAAGCCCTTAGTCCTCTGGCCTCAGTAATTTAATCCTTAAAAGAGTCCATTGCCCCTCTCCAAACTATTCTTGTTGACTCTACAGAGTCACATAATCAGAAAGAAGGATTTTGTAGCACTTGACGACCATGACCTTCTAAGCATAGTGAAGCATCGAAGGAACCTCCTCCATGGTACTGAGCACCTGTATATACTACATAGTAAAAAGCCCCATTCCTAGAAGAGAATAATACCTTAGTGTAGAAGATCTGATGAAACACAAGCAAACCAATTGGGCCTTCAATGTGATATAGTTATGAGCCTCATGTGAATGAGGACATCAGTATATCCAATGCTGTAGCTCACTGAGATTACACGGTTTTAAAGATGTGTCACCTACCAGTATTCCAGCTGTACGGGGAAACTCTCCCGTTGCTGGGTTGTGAGCTCGTAATGTTCTGAGTGTTTGTTTACATTTTCCTGTGATTTACTTCTCTGAATTGATGGGACTATCAACCAGCGAACAGGTAGTAAGGCATGATTCCACAGTTGACACTGAGTAGAACAGAGGTATATGACCTCAATAATGCCATGAAATGGGCGCCGAACGGTACGCTGGTACTGAATACTGTTTCTGATTTGACGTTCTTACTGCCAAAGTATACTAAAGAGGATATCAAGACTGCGGACAAGTTGTTTGAAAGGAAGTCTGTTACGCTGCAAAGCTTACCTGCGAACCCGTTCTTGAGCCAGAGTTTTGATGATGAACGGACTTCAACGTTACTGACAAGCCAGGATGCCGTCATTGAAATCATGGAATGGTCTCCCATGTTTCAAAACGTATGCTATTTGGCAGTGTTGACCAATGAAGGTAGTGTTCTTGTCTTTAAAGATGGCGAGATCTTTGCAAACTTGACAACCACAAGGGAATTCACCTCCCAAAAGGACTTCGACCGCTATAGGTTTCACTCTCTGGGTTGGTTATCTCACCATGGTAGACTCCTTATAATCCAGGGCACCCATTCTGGTGATTTAAGGATCAGCGATGCCCTCACAGGTGAAGAAGTAGACGTTGTATGTGTTTGTGATTCACCAATTGTGATGGTCAAGACTTGTCAGAGTCAGATATTTGCAGTGTCATCATCGAATGCTATATATAAGATCCACGGATCTGAAGTTCAACAGATTAAAGATGCTTCAAGATACCTTGTGTATGATATGTGTCCACATGAAACATTCATACTATACACAGAACCTTTCAGAATAACAAAACGTGAGTTCATTAAGAGAATAGCGCCTGTTAGCGTGAAGACTACATTTGCCACACCAACTCGAATAGTCCCTTCAAACAAGGACATTCTTGTTGTGTCCAATTCTGGATCCGTTAAAATTGATTCATCTTTCAATCTCGTTGAGGATAACATCATCGAACCAGTACTATCCAAGAGACTCAAAGCATGGAACAGGAAATATAATGACTACAACACAAAGACTATTACGTTGAATAAGCTTGGATTAGATTTGAATTACAATGGTAACGTCTTAGCTGTTATTTACGAAATGAAGGAGGACAAGGTGTTCAAATATAAGATTGCATCTGAGAGATCTTATCCAATTGTGTTCATTCCACTTGGGAACAACTTAGGTGGTGACGGCTCATCTTTGACCAAGTTTCACGAATTCAAAATCACTGGATTCACAAGTGAGACAACAGCAACAACCACAGATGTTGACTACAGTGTTGATCTACCATCTTTCATAAGAGATTATGTATTTCACGATGGTGAGATTACAGAGCTGGCATCCCAAAACTTGATATACAACAATAAGAATTCTCAAATAAGGAAACGTTATGCTCGATTATTGGTATCCTACATTGATAAGAACAAATTGGATATCAAAAACACTATTGACAGAGCAGTTGTGACTAGCTTAAGGTATATGGCACAGCTACCGATTGACGATGAAGTCGATAATGTTGCTATCAACTCTGGTGCATTTACTGAAACCTTCGACTTCAAGAAAGAACAGGACAGTGATACTTTGGTTTCCCACTCAGACCACATTTGGCAGCGTTGCTGCCTCACTTTTCTTCCTATTTTGACACCACATGTGTTATACGATCCGGCAACAGAGAGCAGAGCTATAGATATATCGAGAAACTCCGATAACGAGTATGGCTTCTTTACAGAGGCTTTACTACAAAATACAGAGATCTGCATATATAGTGGCTGTGTCTTCATACCTAAATGAAATTGCTTATCTTAAACAATTTCATGAGGTGGGATCTTTGGCCTTAGGAGACGTTTACCACCTGTCAAGAATACCAACAAAAACGTGGACACCAAGATCTCCATATTGATTGACTCATAGTTGAATAAGATCCTGTACTTGTCTCCCACTCTCTTTGAGACCCATGCTACCCTTCTATGAATATCGTCAACTTGGAAATGTCCTATTGGTGCAGACACCACCTCAAAATGGTTCAATCCACACCAAATCAATTCAACATTTGAGCCGAAACAGAAATGCCATTGGTCACGATTATCTCGGAAGCCCAAGAAACCACCGTCAAGCTTGATGACAGATGGTGATGTGGTACTCACAGATCCCGATATTGCATCCTGTTGAATCTGGTTCATCACAACGTACTTGTTGAACCATTCATTAACAACGGTTGCCAACAAAACCTTGTTGGGACCTTGGATATGCCATCTATCACCAGACCTCTGTATCTTGTACAACTTCTTCCCGTTGCTTGTTGTGACTTGCATTGTATTATAAGATCCTGTATCGAAAATGATCTCGTTCACAGAGCCTTGCAATGGAACCGTCTGTTCAACCCGTGTATCTCTGTAAAAGTTGTACTCTACGATCTTGGTGTGCGCAAGCATCGCACTGACACTTGCTGCCATCAGAAACAAACTTAACAGTAAAGCCATGATGTGTTTTATCCACACCACTTCTACACATTGAGAGCGTACAGTGACAACCTATGAAGCCACAATGCTTTAACGTCATAAGAAGAGTAACATGACACAAAACCTCTGAAAACACCGGAAAACGGAACATTCCAGAAACGCGTAGATTATGTGACGCGTCGTGTCCGACGGGGACATTTGTTGCATTTATTACCTCATCTCATCGAGCTTTCAGCTTGTTCGGATAGATGATCTCATGAGTATGACATCAACGAGCGAGCAGAGGTCCAAGTTTTACCATCCGTACTCGCCTTATAAGATCCAACTGGATTTTATGGAATCATTGTACGATGTCTTGGAAAATGGTTACAAGATTGGTATCTTTGAGAGCCCCACTGGTACAGGGAAGACATTATCTCTCATCTGCGCTACAATGACATGGCTTCGTGAGCAGAAGGCCAAAGGTGATGATAGTGTTGTGGATGATGATAGCGATGACGATCCTGACTGGGTCAAGGAGTCGTTCTTTAAAATGACAAATACCAAGAGACACGATGCTGGAGTTGCGTACGAGAAGCACTTGGATGAGTTGCACAAATCGTCAAGACCAAAGGTTTTGAAGGAACACACATTCCCCAACAGAAAGAAACTGAAGTCTGTCACAGTCGAATTGGATAAGGAGCAGGATGATCAATTCTTGCTTGATGATTACCACTCAGATGATGAGTCTTCAGCTGTTACTCAACTGGATCGAAATTCCGAGCTTGCTCTAGAGATCAAAAGCCTGATGAAGAAGATAAACGGGGTGAAAAGAGACGATGGTGATTTGCTGGATCAAGCCACCAAGATTATCTTCTCTTCCAGAACGCATTCACAGTTGAACCAATTCTCATCTCAATTATCACTACCCAACTTTCCCTCCACATACCCTGATCATTCCGAACGCCTAAAGTATTTGCCCTTGGGTTCAAGGAAGCAGTTGTGCATTAACGATGAAGTTTCCAAGATAAAGGATATTACACTGCTTAATGAAACATGTTTAGAGCTTCATAAACCTGATGCTACGAAAAAATGTCCGTTTTATCCATCCTCAAAGAATGAGGACCTTCAAGAGCTGTCCTTTGAATTCAGAGATTCCCTGTTTGCAGAGGTACACGACATTGAAGACTTACCTCAGATCGGGGAGAAACTTCACATATGCCCCTATTATTCTGTCAGAAAGGGTATTGGCTATTCAGAGGTGATGACGTTACCGTATCAATTGTTACTGTCGAAGAACTCAAGAGATGCGTTGGGAATATCTGTTAAAGGTGCCATAGTGGTAATTGACGAAGCACATAATCTACTAGATACCATCACATCCATGAATTCTGTTTCCGTTATGGTGCAAGAGTTTGAGTTGTGTGTTGAGTCTTTGAAGAAGTACCTTTCAAGGTTCACGAGACGTCTGAATGGTGGTAACAGAATCAATCTGATGAAGCTGATTAAAATTATGAATCTCATACTGAAATCAGTGAACTCGACAGAGAAGATAACCCCTGGTAAACCGATAGTCGTTACAGATATGCTGCAAGGCACTACTGGTGATCTGTTGAATATTCACAAATTGGATAAGTATTTCACCGTTTCAAAGCTCCCTTACAAGCTTGAATCGTATATGAGCAAAGAAGATAGACACAGAACACCGATACTATTCAAAATCGTGGAGTTCTTGAAAGCTATGTCGAATCCATCTAGGGAAGGGAAATTCTTCTATGACGTAAAGGCGAATGGTGTTTCGTTGAACTACATGCTATTAGATCCATCCGATGCGTTCAAAGACATTGTCCTGGAAAGCAAATGTGTTATCCTTGCGGGTGGTACTATGGAGCCCACAGAAGATTACTATAACTACTTGTTCCCCTATATTGATACGCAACGAATTAAGAAGTTCACTTGTGGTCATATCATCCCAAAGGAGAATCTTGAAGTTTTCCTGGTTGAAGGCAGCGAAGGCTACGACTTCGAGTTCTCCTTTGAGAAGAGAAATGATACCAAAATGATAGTAGAACTTGGAAAGTCCATTCTTGGACTAATTGAAAAGATCCCAGCAGGCGTTGTCGTATTTCTACCAAGTTATAAGTACCTGTCGCAAGTCATCGAAACTTGGAAGAAATCAGGCATCTACGACTCAATTGACAACTTGAAGAAGGTTTACACCGAATCATCATCCACCAACGTGCTTGATGATTATTCAACCACAATCTCCTCCGGCAAAGGTGCACTTCTCTTATCTGTTGTTGGAGGCCGTCTATCTGAAGGAATCAACTTCTCCGACAACCTGGCCAGAGCAGTAATGTTGATTGGCCTTCCTTACCCCAATGCTTTTTCCGGTGAGATCATATCCAAGAGGAAGTTCATCGAAGACCAGGTTATGGAGCGCACCAACGACAAGAGACAGGCCATGGAAGCTACAAGAGACTTCTACGAGAACATATGTATGAGGGCTGTTAACCAGTCTGTTGGCCGTTCGATAAGACACAGGCATGACTACGCAACAATATACCTGTTCGATAAACGCTACCGGAAAACCAGCATTCAGAACAAGCTCAGTGACTGGATCAAGCAGAGAGTGTCACACCAAATGAGCCTCAAGGAGATCATTAGAGCTACTGATAGCTTCTTCCGTAATAAGAAGTGAAATACATAGCAACAAAGGTTACCCTGTCCTGTAGAGAAATGGTTCGCGAACTCGTTTTTTTGTTTTTGTTTTTCTGTGTTTACTTCAAAAATTTTGAAGTTTCCTGAACGCTCTTTGTTGTTTACAAACAAGAACAGCAATAACAACAAAGGATAGCGACTACAGCAATGAGCAAAGAAACCACTGGCAGCACCGCTGTTGTGCCACTGACCAACGGGAAGAGATTGCTCAATGAACTGTTAGAATCTGCGAGTGCACTTCCAGCGAGGGACTCTGATCTCGGTGACATTCAACTTGGAATCAATGAGATCAGGAATAGGGCCAACAAGTTGCGTAAGTCGACCAAGGAGCTTGAGTCTGATGGCTTGACACAGGCTCACTATTTGCTCGCTGGGAGGGTCTCCATTGAAGAAATTGAGTCCAATATCAAGTATCTTGAACGTGCCAAGGTTCTCGAGACGAGAGGAAAGGCTCAAACACACAAGGGAGATCTAGACAGTTACCTCAGATCGAAGAAGGACGAAAACATCCTCTCCGCTATTGAACAGGCACTAGGAACAGCTGCAAGAGACTTTGATACGTTTGTCAACCAAAACATCACCCTAGACTGGAAACAACGTAGGGAAGAGGTGTTTGCTAGTGTACTGAAGAGATCTCTTTCGCACACCGACGACCAGACAAAGTCCAAGGCAAAGAAGCCGATCAGTTGGGGTAAATCCTTCAAGCTACTTGATGATAGTACCTCCAAGCTGAATGTTAATGAGAACTATTTGATAAGAGGTAAATTCGAACGTTATGCTAAGATCATCAACAGATTGAACAACCATAGACAATCTCTGAAGTTGAGCACCACTGTGGAGGACGATTTCGATCTCGCAAAGGAGTTTGTTGAGATCTTTAAAAATGGATCAGATAACAAATCAAGACAATTATTCGAGAGCTGGCAGATAATTGGTGGTTTGAGAGATGCCACTTCAAGACCAAGTGACCCACAAACATTCAGAAGCAGAATTGTCTCAAAGGCAAAGACACATCTTCAGCTGCAATTCTTTGAATTCGTCAACAATATTTATAACACTAAAGTTGTTGAAAAGGGTCTCCCAACTATTGTCAACAAGATCAAGAGCTTTATCGAGTACCAGAAATTGAACTCAAATGGAAACCTTCTAATTGTGAATGGGATACCAATCTGGGCTTTGATCTTCTATTTGCTTAGAGCGGGATGTGAAAAGGAGGCACTTGACCTTGTCTTGGAGAATCAAAACATTTTCAAGAAAGTGGAACAATCATTTGTTCCGTACTTCAAAGCATATGTTAATTCACAAGACAAGAGATTACCACAGGATTTGATTACAAAAATCCAGAATGAATTCAACAACCACATCAAAAAGTCCGTTGATGGTGATCCATATCGCTATGCTGTCTATAAGATATTGGGAAGATGTCAATTATCAAGAAGAAACATTTCCAATATTGCCCTTACAGTTGAAGACTGGCTTTGGATGCATTTCATGCTCGTTCAAGATGGACCACAATCTGATTTTGATCCCGCACACGAGAAATATACACTTGTTGATTTCCAACAGATGATTTTGTCGTATGGACCAACAAAATTCACCAACAACTATCTCCAAGTATTGTTACTTTCTGGATTGTACGATGATGCATCAAGATACAGCACCGAACTTAATGAAATGGATGGTGTTCACTTAAGTATTGGAATGGCATACTATCAATTGATGCAAAGCTCTGCAAATGATAAAGCTCAATTGAAAGAAAGAGGTGACAAATTCAGCAAGTTATTAGGTACTTATATCAAGAGTTTCAAGTTTTCTGATCCGAGAATTGCAGTTGAATATTTAGTCTTGATATGTCTATTCGACAACGAAGCATCCACGTGCCATGATGCTTTGAAAGAGTTGATTTTGGAAACCAGGGAATTCTCTATCCTCTTGGGTAAGGTTAACTCTGCTGGTGTCAGAGTTCCAGGTAAGATTGAACAAAGAAAGTCGTTGATTAACCTTGATAAAGACTTTTTGCATAAAGTTACTGAACAGGCTGCCATTACAGCAGATAAGGAAGGAAGAGTGTACGATGGTTTACTTCTTTATCAATTGGCCGAAGAGTATCAAATTGTCATTTCAATCATAAACAGATTACTCGGCGAGTATTTAAGTAATACCGAGTTGGATCAACCACTTGTTGAGGACGGGAACACCGAGACCAATCCAGTTCTTATTGCCCAGAATTTCCTAGCCGTTTATCAAAACGTCTCTGTTGAAAAGCAAGTGATCTGTAAGAAGTTGCTGAAGATTGCAGAGATTAGACAACTGTACTTAGAGAAGGATTGGGATGAAACTTTGAGAAGAATAGAGGAACTGGATATCCTTCCAGTCAGTGCCAACTCAAACTTGGCGGATACAAGATTGAAGGCAGAGGAGTTGTCGTATTTGGATGAATCACTTTTGAAAAACATTCCTAATTTGTTGCTGATTGCAATGTCTTGTGTTTCTCAGAGAAAGGAACAGATCAATGCCAGTGCATTCAATGGTCTTATCAAGGAGGAGAAAACCAGAGAACTAAAGTTTATTGCAAAGAACTGTGTTGTATTTGCCGGTATGGTACAATACAAGATGCCTCGTGAGACATTCAGCTTGTTAATAAACCTCGAGGCCACTTTATAGGCTCTACAAACATACATTTGCTTCGTTTAATTTTGGTTTCCAAATACATAAAGATTGAACAGACCAATGTGCCTGTGTAGGTTCAATGTGAATGCGAATGGCCTTGATGGCCACCATCATCTTTGTTATTGTGGGAATGCTTATGCTTTGAGTAGTCAGGTTGATACTCATACGAGTTTGGACTTGGCAGTTTCTTCATTTTCTTCTTGCTGGATTTCTTCTTCTTCCTCTTCTTCTCCGCATCATTGCCCCTTGGATCGTTCTCATCGCCTTCATCGCTGGAAGATGAGGAAGACGACGACGACGACGACGACGAAGAGGAGCCGTTATCAGAATCGCACTCACATTCCTCATCGAAGTTCGTCTGCGGATGGAAAATGCAACAGATCTTGGACTTCTTCTTGTTCATGAACTCGTTATCTACTGTTCCCTCTTCCCACCGCACACGAGGTCTTTGCTGCTGAGGTTCAACCTCTTCTGGTTCCTCCGAAGTAGCACGTAGCACAAGAACCTCCGGTGTTCTTTCAATCACTTCTGTCCGTGACCTTGATTCCTCGTTCGCCATCTCTTACTTTTAGGCTGAAATAACCTTCGTGTTGACAACGTAAATGCTTTCTTGTCTATATCGCTGTGGACGAAGAAGCTTCCTCTGTGTGTGTGCTTGGTTGTGTGCGCTTGTATTTTTTCTCCCCTTGTAACGTTACCATCGCAACCAGTTACCACAGCAACCAGTCACCACAGCAAAGTATTACCACAAAGAGGACACAAAGTCAACGTCAACTGCACGTTCGGAACGTTTCCCCGGTTATAACGTCACATTGGTGTTTGGGTGTATAACATTTGTCCAATGCTCTTCGAGACACAATTCAGGTCCACCTTTTCCCACTCAACTGGTGCTTATTGAATCTTGTTCAGGCCTGGTCAAGTCGTTGCAATTTGGTGATGAGGATGTGGTCGATCCAGTCACGTGGGTTCTCCACCAGCACCGTTGCCCTGGGGAAGACTCTTGTGGAGAAAGTGAGAGCACAACCTCCGTCTCGAAATGACATGTCGTTGAAAGAGTGTACACAACTGTTTTGGGAATGGTTGACGAACTCGCCGACAAAGATGCTGAAGCACTATGAGGAAGCCATCTTGGCCGATGTTAAGCTCCCCGAGGGGGTGACCATGACGAAGTCCAAAGTGGCTGGATTACATCAGATCAAATTGACAAATCAACGGGCAAAGATCTCTACTCCAACGTTGCTTGTCCACGGCCATGGTGCGACTGGAATGTTCTTCCATAGAGATTTCCCTGATTTGTCTGCCAATTTCAAGGAACTATACACTGTGGACCATCCTGATTGTGGATTGAGTGATCTAAAGAAGTTTAAAGTGCGTATGCCTAAGGCCAAGGTTACTCTGAAGAAGTTGGATAATGACAAGCGTGAGTTCACCATTGAACAAGACGTTGAGAAGAACAGGGAAAGTGTTGTTAAAGTGGAAAATTTCTACCTGGATGCATTTGAGAAATGGAGACAGGAGAATCGACTGGATAGGCTCAACATCGTGGCACACTCCTTCGGTGCGTACTTGTCCTTCAAGTACTGCTTGAAATATCCTCACCGTGTTAACAAACTGGTCCTGTGCTCACCAGCAGGTGTTGAACGGTCCATCTTCTCTTTGAACAACAAGCAGAACCATGGCATAGTTTCACAGGACCCCTCTTCTCCTTCCTACTTGCGGTTCGCCTACTTGCCATGGCTCATCACCACGTTTGGATTCAATTTGGCAAAAATCTTTGGTCCATTTGCAGTGCAAATTTTAACAAAATACCTGAGTCTTCGATACTCAAGAGGGTCTGATAATGATAATCAGATCAAACTACTTTTGAGATATACTGTGCATCTGTGGTATCAAAATAACCAATCCTTCCGCAATTTGCTTGTGATAATCAACAACCAAATATTGTCACTGGATCCAATATTGGACAACATCAAGCAGTTGAAAGTCCCAACATATATAATGTACGGCCAATACGACTGGATGAACTCTCAAGCAGGATATGCTGCGTTTGAAGAATTGGAAGGAGTCGAGGCGAAATACAAGATCATCCCACAAGCTGGTCATAACGTGTTTTTAGATAACTCAGAGGTGTTTGATAGTGAGGTTATACACTTCCTATCAGATGAGACAACTATCAACGGCGAAAACAGAATTTGAGATGAATCAACCATATATCATGATACAAATGACATTAACGAGATACAAGAAGATATTCACAACCATACTGGAGAACTACATATGTTTTAAAGCTAGAAACTAAAATAAAATCTTTATAATATTGGGCTTTTCTGTATAATATACTGTATCAAATGAACAAGGAAAGCAGATAATTTAAAAGTAAATGAAACGGCAATAATGGAAATCAAAAAACAATTAATGGAAGAGAAATGAATGCAAAACACAAGAATGATTCTAGTTGATTGGGACATTTGGTCCTTGAGCCGTGTTGGCTCTGGAGAAGGAAACATACTTCTCGAATGGGTTCTTTCTCTCCAAATCGTACTCTGGGTTGTGAGATCTTTCCTTCTTATAGTACACTCTCTTGAAGAACTTGTAAACCTCACATCCAAGCCAGAATGCAACTGTAGTAGCAACAGATATACCCCACTCTTTACCAATTGGACCGTGTAAGAACACTTTCTTGTTGATAACTGGAATGTAGACAACTGGGAAACAAGAGATGAAACCACCAACAACTGACCAGAACAGGAATTGATTAGACCACAAATCTCTAAACACTTGAGTGTATGGGGTATCGGTCTCTGGTTTCATGGCAAAGAGAGAACGTCTCATATCAATCACTTCCCAAGCAAGAACCAAAGCTCCCCAGGTCATAGTTCCAAATGTACAAGAACGGGCACGGAAGACCCAGTCACAGACACTCGTGGCACTAGTGCTGTTACAATCATAGCCAAAGTTACCATCACCCCAAGCGTACATAACGATAACAAAGGCAGCCAGACACGCAATCGCCAACATGATACCATAAGCAACCAAGTCCACAATCATTTCCCAAGAGAAAACGGATTCATTAGCAGGTTTTGGATCTCTCTCCATGACATCTGGTTGGGCAGCCTCAACACCAAGACCCATGGCTGGGAAACACGATGTAATAACAATAATCCACAGCACTTCAACTGGGGACAACGGGAAGACAGAGACTCCGTTCTCGTCTTTGAACACCAAACCAATCATCAAGAACAAAGCCTGACAGAAATTCTCAGCAAGTAACTGAAGAACAAACTTCTGAATGTTGTCGTTCATTCTTCTACCTTCCTCAATACCATTCATGATGGAGGCAAAGTTATCATCACTGAGAACAATATCAGACGCATCCTTAGCAACATCTGAACCTGCAATACCCATAGCAATACCAACATCAGCCTTTTTCAAAGAAGGCGAGTCATTAACACCATCACCAGTCATGGCACAGAATTTCTTACGACGATGAAGCGCATCAATCATACGCACTTTAGTCTTTGGAGAACAACGAGCAATAACCAACGGCAGGACTGGAAGTTGATCAATTTCGTCTTCAGACAAATCATCAAATTGCTTAGCAGTCATAACCATAGCATCAACAACATCCTGAGCGTAGTGGTACAAGTTGTGTGGTAAGATACCAACTTCCTGTGCAATAGCTCTGGCAGTACCTGGGTGATCACCAGTCAACATATGAACATTAATACCAGCCTTGTGACACTTTTTGACAGCACCACGAGATTCAAGACGTGGAGGATCGTAGATACCAACCAAACCAAGGAAAGTGAGTTGTTCTTCAACAGACTCACGTTGAGAAATGTCAAAATCAGATGGGACAACTCTGGAGGCAAATGCCAACACACGCAAACCTTCCGAGGACATAGTATTCATGTTTTCTTCAATCTTTGCAACGTCATCAGCAGTGAGCTCAGTCAATTCACCGTTAACATACCAGTTGATGCAAGTTTGGATAACACGTTCAACAGCACCCTTTGTGTAGATATATTTACTCTTTTCGTCGTTCTTCTTAGCGTAGATAGCAGACATCTTCTTCACAGACGAATCGAATGGGAACTCGGCGAGGTGCTTGTATTGGGCATCATCCCCCTCAGTGAATTGTTCTCTTGCATAGTTGTTTCTGTGGGCAAAGACTTGAATGGCAATCTCTGTTGGGTCACCGTGTGCTTTCCACTCACCTTGGTTGTCTTGGAAAACAGTTGCAATGTTTGCCAAAGTAGCAGTCTCAAGCCACTTGTCAAAGAGATCGTTTGGTTTGCACTCGTTCAAAACAGAATCTTTTTCATCTTCAGACTGTGACAAATCGTACGGAGAAAGTCCCTGGAATTTAACGGTTCCAAGTGTTGGGTTGAATGGCTCGTTGGCGTCAATGACTTGATAAGTTCCGACAGATGGAATCCAGCATGACTTGACAATCATCTTACCTTGAGTCAAAGTACCAGTCTTATCAGAACAGATATCGTTGATGGAGCCCAATGCTTCAAGAGAATCCAGCTTTCTAACAATAACGTGTTTACTCGACATAACCTTTGCACCAACAGACATGGTGATTGTAAGCACAACAACCAATGAGGATGGAATCATGGAGACAGCAACACAGATAGCGTAGATTGCAATTTCATTCGTGACACGGAATTCCTGTGTAGCCATGACGATGATCGCAAAGATAACCGCAATGATGAAGAGAAGAATGGCCAATTTGGACAACTTTCTAGAGAGAGGAGTACCAACTGTGGTACCCAAGAAAGATCCAATACCGTGCTTGGTCAACTGCCACAAGTTCTGCAAAGTAGAGGTTTCCTCATCACCTTTCAATGATCTCTTTGAGTTTTTCAATGACTGGGCAATCTCACCAATCTCAGTGTTCAAACCAGTCTTGACAACGATACCAGTAGCACGACCTTTAGTGACAATGGAGGAGGAGAATGCCATGTTTAGACGGTCACCAACTCCAACTACATCATCGTAGACAACGGTGTGGTCCTTAACCACTGGCAAGGACTCACCGGTGAGCAGGGCCTCATCGGTCTCAAAGTTCAAGGAATCGATAATTCTGAAATCAGCTGGGACCGTATCACCAACTTTAACTTCTACAATGTCACCTGGGACAACGTACTTGGTTGGGATGGTGGCCAATTCACCATCTCTATATGCCTTTGCAGTAGGCGAAGAGAGTGACTTTAGCGAGTTCATGGTCTTGGAGGCCTTGTACTCTTGGAATGAGCCGATGGACACATTGATGAAAACGACAAAGGCAATGACACCACCAGAGATCCAATCCTGAATACCCAGACAAATGGCCATGGAGATAATAAGCACAAGAATCATGGCGTTGAAAGACTGATGGATGATAATACTAGCAAGCGAGATCTTCTGATCATCACCAAGAGTATTTTCGCCATACTGCTTAAGCAACTCTTCCGCTCTGCGCGTTGTTAATCCTTCCTGGACATCTGTGTTGTAGAGTTCCTCCACCTGTTTCAGGGGCATACGGTAGTGGTCCAACCCCCATAGCTGTGATCCGATAGAGGAAGTATCGGTATTTTTCGTCATAACGGTTTGATTTCTGTTCAACTTGTCATCTTCTAGTTGAGCAGACATCCTGTAATGTTTGTCCTTTTTTAAAGGTTTACTTAGTTGAGGAGACAAACGTTAATGGTTGGCTTCTAAAAGGTGGGCAGCCCTTGGCCTTTTTATAATTTTGTCTCAACCATCCATGTCCACTTGGCAAAAGGCATGATCACAAATCATGTCCTTCAAATGGTTGTATCGTAACGTACAAAACTTGTTCGTTGTGTTAATTTTGTCTTGGCCCCAAAGGAACTGCATATGCTGAGCTGCAGGCAGCAAACATATTAACGGAATTAGAGTTTGAACTTACTTTTGTGACAAAGTTGCAATTCGAAGTCGAGAGGAGAAAAAGAAAAAGGATGCCAAAACGCGAACTTTTCAACCAATATTGTGATGTAATATAGAGTGGCTGAAAGAGATTAATACACCACGTCATGACATTTCAACTGCGCCGGTGTTGTAACTCAGTTGGTGTTACTATGACGTATAAGTCAGATGGTGAATTACACAGGGCCAAATCTGAGTTGTATATACAGCCATGACTCTAATGGAGACATGTGAAATCGACTAAACTATAATACTCAACGGGGTTTCAGATCACCTTTGGAATCGTCTTCAAAAGCTGCCAGGAGACAAACAACCATAACGCTGCACATGCGATTTAGTGCAACAATGTTGGATGACCGCGTCACATCAATTGCTCAGCGCTTTGAATTAAGTCACAAGGACATGAGATTCTTTATCCAGGATGCTTGATTGGAACGGTTGAAGTGATGCTGTTTCCAATTGACTTGTTTAGTCCTGTTTCCTATACATTTCCTTGATTGAAAAACACTAGCCTCATACGCTCCACTACTGACAAGAAAAGAAGACTGTTGGTGCAGGAAAACGTGTCGATCAATTTCATGCACGTGACCCCTCCTGTGTCCCCTCCTGTGTCCCGTTGGGAAAGATAACGTTTCTTTTTGTTTCTTCTCACTCTAAAAGTTACAGAAAATGTTCCAAAAACAGTAAAGTGGGGCGAAAAAGTATGGGAAATTAGATCAGACCGCGGAAATGATTTTTTCGGGACATTTGCTGCAAGGTCGTGGGTTTACTCAGATGCCGGCTTTTCTCCCAGACAATTTACGAGCTGTGTGGGCTGTTCTGCTATGACGAAATGACTAGAGTAGTAAATTTAGTACATCCGACGACAACTAGTCTCATTATTTTGATAAAAGTTAGCTATCACAAATGTTTAGTTGATTCATCAAACGGTGTACTATTTTCCGCTATCACATGTGCCGTAGATTGGCCACGGGTCCAGCTTCTTTCTCGGCATGTCCCAGGAATCATAGACATATTTGTCTTGACCATGTGTGCTGTGGCTTGTCGCCTCTGGGCATTTTATATGGGTTAACTGTACCGTGGGTATAATTATTTCAACGGTGGCACTGTGTACAAGAATGCCTAGCAAAACTAGAGGGAAAGGAAGTGTCCCAGTACACATCGATCCGAGTCATCCTTACAACGTTCACTTTGTAATTGCGATTTCCAATTCAACCACTGGTTTATCAATGGTATCGTAGGACGTGGGATCCCAACTTTTTATACGGCTGATGATGATGTGCTCGCAAGTGTGATAGAAAACGCTATCAATCATACGCAGATCATCTACATATCTCTACTTGCTGTCCTGATTGCTAAAATGACCCTATGATCTGCGAATTTACATTTATCATTTGAGGTGGACGAAACGACTGCGCTATTCCGTCTGTCACTATTTCATGAACGCCGTTAACGAAGTTTGTGAGAACATCATTCTGTTCTAGATATATGGATCCACATAAAAATGCATCAATCTCAACACTGTTGTTCGATTGTGTGCATGATAATGTTCCATAACCTGATATTCTAAAGTTGTCATTGCAATGTGGTAATTAGAACTACCCGAAGCGCAACCTGAAACCACCAACAGTTTGTTTCGGATCCATACATCAACAATTCGCAAAACGAAGCAGCCTACTTGTCCTAGCCAAGCAATCTATCGCTCAAGAACAATTCCGTGGATAAGAACCCTAAAATAGCCGACTAAAGTCTGGATTCAGAAACATTTGCTTCGCACTAGGAGATTGTGCTAGTACCCGGAGCACTTCAATCGGGCCAAGATTCTAAGTTCAGGCGTTTGGTATAAAAGACAGCTTAAGTCGAGTTCACGGGCTTCTGAAGTTCGAACCCATGAGCATAAGAGACATTTGTCTTATTGAATAATCTACAAGCACCAAATTGTGATGATTCAAATCAAATATAATAATGGGCATACTATGTAGTGGTGATGTTTTCTTTGTGCTTTTGATACACATTTGAGGATGGAATACTTTCAACTTGCTTTGTTTCCTTTTCCTCCTTCTTCTTTTGGTTTGGTTATCTTGATGTTCATAAATATCTTTAGTTAAAAAATGATCCAATGGAACACACATTCATTCAGAAAGTTTCTTCTCCTTTTTCTTGTCATCTTCCAGAAGCTCTCTGTCCAAGTCCAAGTTCTCCTGGATGTTCCACAACTCGCCATAGAGACTACCCTCTTTCTTCAAGAGAGACTGGTGATCACCTTCCTCCTTAACTTCACCCTTCTCTAAAACAATGATCTTATCGCTATCAGCTATAGTTCTCAATCTATGGGCAATGGAGACATTGGTGTTACCGGTGTTCTTGAAAACACCGCGTATCGTTCTCAACAGACTTTGTTCGGTGTGGGTATCAAGGGCACTTGTAGCTTCGTCGAAAAACGTGATTGGCGATTTCTTCAACAACACTCTGGCAATGGCAAGTCTTTGTTTTTCACCTCCAGATATCATCATACCACGTTCACCTACAATGGTTTGTAAACCATCAGGTAAATCGTTAACCAATCTATCCAATTTGGCCTCAGATATGACACGGTTAACTTCTTCGTCACTTGATTCCAAATTACCATAGCGCACATTTTCGAGAATTGTGTCATTGAACAAAGGTGTATCCTGCGGAACAACACCAATAGCACGTCTCAAAGATTCCAAATCGACATCACGGATATCTTGACCGTCAATAAGGATCCGACCGGACTGGATATCGTAGAATCTGAAAACAAGACGGAGAATGGTAGACTTACCACTGCCAGAAGGGCCAACAATGGCAACCTTCTCACCACCTGGTATGACAAACGAACAGTTATTCAAAATTGGACGTTGTGGGTGATATCCAAACGTGACGTTTTCGAATCTGATTTCTCCTTTCTTCAACATCAAAGGTGGCGCATTTGGTTTACTCGTGATGAGCACTTGATTCTTCTGCAATTGGAACAGAGTCTCCATGTCCAACAATGACTGTTTCAACTCCCTGTAAACAGAGCCCAAAAAGTTCAAAGGCACTGACAGTTGGAACACCAACTGGTTAATCAACACCAAGTCACCAACCGTTAAGGAACCTGAAGCAACACCATCAGCAGCCATATACATCATTGCTGTCAACGCTGACGTGAAGATCAAGTTTTGGCCAGAGTTCAGGAAAGCAAGAGAAGTGGCAATTTTAATGGAGAAGTCCTGGTATTTTTGCAGAGCCATGTCGTACTTCTTTGCCTGATAAGCCTCGTTGTTGAAATACTTGACACTTTCAAAGTTAATCAAGGAATCAAGTGCAACGCTTGCAGCCTTATTGTCGGCGTTGTTTGCTCTTCTTCTGAATCCAGTTCTCCAAGCAGTTGTTCTGATGGTGAATATACTGTATGCCAACATGGTGAGTAGAGTAACAGCAGCAAAGTTCATACCATAGTTATACGTCAAGATACCAGACACAACAGAGATTTCAAAAGTAATCGGCAGGATATGGAACACCATGGCAGTTAACACATAGCTAATACCCTTTGTACCACGGTCGATTGCTCTTGTTAACCCACCTGTCTGTCTGCTCAAGTGGAATCCCAAATCCAAGTTGAGCAAATGTCTAAACGTATTATGTGCCACTTTTCTGATTGCACTCTGAGAAACAGTTGCGAAGATGGCATTTCTCAGCTCTCCAAAGAGCACTGCACCGAATCTTGCACCACCGTACGCTAAGATTGTACCCCCGATGATTGTAGACACCAAGCCAACCTCGTTGGTCCAGTCGATATTCATACCGTCAATGATAGACTTGAAGTAGAACGGCACCTGAACGTTGAGCAACTTTGCAAGCACAAGGAAAGACAGCGCCACAACAACACGCACTTTGAACCCAAAGTTATTCTTTGGCCATAGGTACGACATCAAGTGTCTTATGATCTTCCACTGGGATAAGCGCGGGTGCTGCTTTGGACCGTTCGGAAGCGCGTTATCACTTGAAGCCTTTAACAATGGTCTTGACGTGTGTAGTTGTCGCTGGCAGTGTGATTTGACGGGCTGGGTTGGCAATCTCAAAGAATGCACATTAAACACCTTCAACTGGAATAAGTGTGGCTTTGTGGATAACAGCCTCTTTGAGCTTGTGCCTATTGGAGACCTCAATTGTCTCAGTGCTAAGGTGAGATGAGATACACCGCAGTTGAGCCTCATTTCACACAGCTTTTTCCAACTGAGTCCCTTGATTGAGAGAAGGATCTAGCAGACGACAAAGATTATGGCTGTTTATTGGCGGGTTTTTTCCCATGAGATTTCCACACGCTTCTGTGCTGTGGGTTTTTGTTGCCGATCGCGGAATTAGAACATCTGTGTTTGCTTGTTGCTATGGGAACAGCTCTACATCTAAGTCGTATAAAGCTATTTGGTGCTATCATGCGATGAATTGATAGTTGATGTGTTCTACAGTGCGCAATGTAATCTCATTAGATCGTTTATGTTGAACTGCATGTTTCATCGTTATGTGTGATTCAATGTGGAACAAGAGCATGGGGTCAACAGTCGCCGAGCATGGGGACTTATGTCTACGTCCAATGTATGTGGAAAGAACTAATCTCACTTCCAGAACCACCAGCCTCTATTCTGTCTTTGTTCCAGTGCCAGTTCCTTTTCTTGTAATTGCACAAGTTTCGTCTCCAGTTCCTTGAGTTTCTCATCCTTCTCGATGTCCACGGCGTAGTTCGTCAATCCGACACCCAATGCTACCAATGTTAACCCAGCAAACAGTCCTCCAAGTACCAGAGCAGCAAATGTCCGCTGTGGCTTAGGAGAGCGGGGACCCCACTCACCGAAATATATATAGTACAAGGCCCGTTGTTCGTCTCTTGTGAGGTCTTGCCATGGCTGTGCCAGTCTCTCGTTGAGATAGTCTAGTACGTCCAATTGATCCCCTTCTTTCATCTTAGCCCATCGGTGTTCGATGCCCTTTAGGTCGGGAGATGCATTGGACGTTGTTGAGAGTCTAGCGTGTCTGATACACGGAAAGCTCTTAAGTGACACGTTAACGGTTTTGATACTTCTAATCATTGACATACTTCAAGCTGGAGGGTTCCAATTGCAATTGTCCACACAACCGTGCTTAGATTCCCCTTCACACAACATTTACACCTCTTTACCAACTATTTTTTTTTTCGCTTCCGTTCGTCTTTCCCCATCGCCAACGTTTCGCTACAACTTCCACGTAAAATTTGAGGTGTCATCTCAACGTGTGAGTTCCTCACTGTGATTGGCCAAACAGGTCATCATATCCACCACCCACCCAGCAAGTTGATCACTTTACTTAACCATAGAACCATAAGCTTCTTTTCCTCGCCTTCTCTTGTTGAAATAGACGCACCTGCAAACTTGTATTACCCGATTTGGTAGTCAATAACGCACCTCGCTCCCCACAAATTCATCCGTACACCACGCAAAAGGCCAGGTATCCCTGCACCAAACAGCAGATCCAATTTTGACACCACAGCATAGAAGCGTCATTCATCTGGGATAACATCAATCAACAACTGAATATGTCGCTTACTGTGAGTACAATGGTCACAAGATGGTAGATGGGTACTGAAATGTCTGCTAACAATCCTTGGTAGACTGAATTTAACAATGCTGGGGAACCATGGTCTGCGCCGGTTAAGACCACGAGTAATGGGTTCCTGTCCTTAAACATGATCATTTTCTGTGAGTTATAAGCTATTGGTCAACTGTTTAATAATATGACTAACACATACGTTTTCGTCTCTGCTATAGCCTTGGTGTTCCTTTGTTTGGCAACAGTTGATGATAAGCATACAAGAGCTGGATCCATCAAATACGTTATTTTCAGCGCCCTAGCAGCTTTGTCCATTGGGTAGGTTCTTGATGTGTCAACACAGTATAAAGCACGGATATACTAACACACCATTAACAGATTTGGTACAATTACGCTCGCTGACTATGTTGGTGTGTATGTTTGAATCAAGGTTATATCTCTTTTATGTAAAAAAAAGGCAATGTATATGAGTTAGTCAATTCCTAAATCCTTCTTCGTTAGAATTAGAGAGTCCAGTTCTTCGCTCTCATTAAGGCTTGAAATCAGCGCCTTAACTTCTTCAATGCGTGAGCTCAACAATGATTCTCTGGTCTTTCCAAGACTTTTCAGGATCTCACCGTTTAGCCTATTGCATAGTTTCAAAACTTCCTCGTTGCTTAACAGATACCCAAATTCACTTTCTGAAGGGTCTTGGTAAGCAAGAAGCGAAAAGATATCGTTCAAATGGTCTAATTGTTTGCTGGACTCAGACGAGAGATTTGCGGATAGACTGTGTCCAAACTTAATTGCCTCGTCAATCTTGGACTCTTTGATCAGTTGGATCAATTTTTGACATTGTAATTCAAACAGTATAGAGCCATCTTCTTCAAACACAGAGGGGAACTTCATTCTTGTTAAACTGATAGCCTCATCCAGCTGTCCCTTAATCAAGTAATTCCGAATCTGCTGGCGTATCTGTAAAACCTCGGTGTCTATAGGATCACCAGCCACATTGGTGATCCCAATTTCCTTATCGTCATCAGATATCTCCTCTGCGAAGGCTTTACATACGTCAACATATCCCAGATAATCAAAGTATGAAGCCACCAGCGCTCTTGCATCATAAAAGATGGCATCCTCCGTGTCTGCTGTATAAAGATCAAGTGAACTTGGGTTGTTTGATAACGTTCCAGTAGAAGCATTCATATTGACATCCTCATCTTCGTCTGTTTTCGTTGCGAGGTTCATTATTTTTGCCTTCAACTTCCTTCCCACTTGAGAAACATAACCTTCGATGTTATATGCAAAATCGCTTTGGCCAAAGTTTGTCATTATGGCGTTGTCGTCCTTCATACCAATCACCGCTACTAACGGCGAATATACGTCCTTAAATGCGGTGCCCAGATGAACACCATTCTTGGTATAGAAAATAGTCTTGTTAGTGAAGTTAACACCGCATCCAATGACATCGTTAATACCAAATGGTTTGTTATACTTTTCGCTCAAGGTGTGGTTGGCATAGACGTTACCATCTGCACCGTGGAATCCATAAGTACCATTCTCCAATCCCGGGGCTTTTGAAATGTTTGATAATTCTCCAGCATTCATGAATCCCAAAGAGATGTCGCAAGCTTTTTCATAGTTTTTGCTCGATGCATTCAATACCCTTATCTCATAGTAGAAGACACCACAGTTTATAGGAATAACAGCATTACCCTTTGCACATTTCACATCATAGTGCCTTTGGGCGGGCTGTGATTGTCTGAAAGCAAATTTGACATTCAACCCATTCTGCGAAAGAGCGAGCGGTGAGTTGGGGCTTGTGACCCACTTAGTTGGTAGTGGATAGTTCTTTCCAATGGATCCCTTAGAACGCTTCTTAGCATCACCATTCACGTTATCTGAACCATCTTCATGCTCCTCACCGTCAAAATCGTTAGGGTTTCGACTCACAGACACTGAATCCTCCTCAGCAAAGTCCCCAAGGTCAGCCATTTCCTCATCGTAATGAACGCTTTGAATGATATTTCTACTGGAGTTTGCAGAAGTCTCCTCCTGATTCTGGCCACCTCTGTTCATGGCATGTTCCAATATATCACCACTATCACTTATAGTCTGTACAAACTGATCATTATAGTCTGTGAACCGCCCTGGAAGGCTACCCATCACACCACTCGTCGACAGTTCTGTCAACCTGACAACTTTCTCTGTCTCTTTAGACTCGTTTGACATTGACTCCTGTAGCCTTTCACCAAAGGTGGTCAACAGCAAATAAGGGGGAACCGACATCTCATCACACGACATTTGCTTCACTTTATGGTCCGTGCAATAGAAACAAATGAACAGTCAATCACTTCCACTGCTTTGTTTCTTAAACAACTCTGTAGTGTCCTGTTGGCTGTGCTTATCACAAAGCTTCTGGGCCTCATACTTTGGGGAAGAATGGCTCAGATTGAATGAAATCCGGCTCGCAGTCACGAGGCATCTATTTCCGGCCGTCTGAAAAATCTTATAAGCGAGCCAAAAAAAAATCTTCCCCGCCAGGAGTCGAACCTGGAATCTTCTGGTTTCAGAAGTAACCACTGAATCGTAGCCAGACGCCGTGACCATTGGGCCACGAGGAACAGATTTCGATTTGATTTGAATGTTCTGTTCGCCTCATACAGTTGTGACTTATCTGACGAGTCGTGCATGAAACAATTCATATACATAATGGCAACTTCAAATGTGAAGAGAATTAGTTGAGCGGAAGGTACTTCAAGAGAACTCTACTTCCACCCTTGGATGCTGATGCAATGAACGTAGACATGGGTAAGTGCCTCACTGTGCATTCTTCCTTAACACGGACTAACATTTCAACAGAGGAAAGACAGCAGGACATGTGTCCGATCTGCAAGACAGATAGATACTTGTCACCGGATATGAAGTTTTTGGTGAACCCGGAGTGCTATCATAAGATGTGTGAATCATGCGTGGATCGTATCTTTGCCATGGGTCCTGCACCTTGTCCGTATCCAAAGTGTGGTAAGACCTTGAGAAAGAATAAGTTCAAGACTCAGATATTTGACAACATTGAAGTCGAGAGGGAAGTTGATGTCAGGAAAAGGGTGTCTAGAGTGTTCAACAAAGTCCGAGAGGATTTCGATACACTGGACGACTATAACAAATACCTCGAGGAGCTGGAAGATATAGTATTTAACATCGTGAATGGAGTTGATGTTGAAGCAACTGAGCAGAAATTGAAAGAGTATGAGGAGAGCAATAAGCCAAATATTGAGGAGAATAATGCAAAGAGGCAAAAAGAACTTGAAGAGTTCAAAGAACAAGAACAACGCAAGCACGATTTACGGATGAAGAAGAACCTTATTGAAAGACAGATTGAACAGGAAGCTAGAGAAATGAAGGAACTCGAAAAAAAGGAAATCATAAACACTTTGGCCTCTGGGGACGGTACGCAGGATGCAACAAAGGCAGTGTCCCAGGTGAGGAAGTCGATGTTGAAGAGATCATCGGCTCGTCGTAAGCAACTGGACGAGATCATGCAAGCGCTCAATTCATCCCGTCAAGCTAAAGGCGAGGATAAGAAGCATAACGTTCCATTTACACCATTCAATGGAGATCGTACTTCGCAACACAACTTTGATATACACGACTCATACTACGATCCGTTCTTGGATGAACTCAAGAGCAAAAAAGAGTATATTGCGTCAGGGTTTGAAGTACATGCGGTTTATGACCGTGTATTAACGGAGGCATTTACAGGACTAGGATGTTACATTGAGCAAGAGAAAAAAGAACTGAATGACGCCATTGTATAAAGTGTCGATACATCGCAAATATATCACAGTCCGCGTAGCTGAATGGCTGCTACTATCTGATGACTTAAAACTGTAAGATCTTCTGATTTCAACTTGTAGTTCTTCGATATAATACTGTTAGTACATATGTGTGTGATGGGGGGGGAAATGGAGTACTTACTTTCTTAATGGTCTTTAAGATTGCACTTGATTTTAGATCCTCATCTGTAATATCGACCTCTTCACCTTCAACAACACTCAAGTCAAATTCTTCCTGACTGTTTGAGTCTACGATCTTTATCACGATCAAGTCCGTGGAGTCATCTTGTATTCCAAATCTTCTAAGCGCATCCATGATGTTTTGGGTTGGGCTTAGACTGAAGATGACCTCGGAGTGTATTGTCTTGGTTCTGATCTTATCCTGTGTATGGTCCAAAAGTGCTCTATAAACTGCGGATAAGAGCTGTTCCTCAGAGAGTACTGTCTGCGCATTGATGAAAGAAAAGTCATAACGTTTATCACCTTTGATCAAGTTCTGTTTGATCTCTTTACTGTTTGTAACATTCTTAAACTTGAACAAGTGCACTGTGAACTGTGGGAATTGTGGTAAAACTGTCTTAATGCTCATTGTTAACACGGTGATGAGGCCCTTTTCGAATAGGTTGTTTGAAAGCTTTGCACAGGTACGGAAATTTTGTTTTCGCTCCTATACAAAGCAGCAACACCGCAACAAGGTCAGCCTCTACGATCAAAATTACTCAACTACACGGAGAAATTTCTCAACACTTCCATTGGTGCTTGTTGTTGTAATATATAATACAAACATCTATGACCTTCTTGAAGAATAAGTAGCGTTTGTTCTACCAGGGTACGCACTGCTTCTGGGAGGCTTCGGAGGAGGCGCATAGATATTGGTACTGTAAGATGGATTTGGTGACACTGGTCTCTGTGGAAGCTGTGGTGCTGCGGGTTCCTGAGGCCAGCTTGGAGATGCTGGTCGTGGTGGATAGCTTGGGGCATTCCAGTTCTGCTGTTGCATCTGTATAGGTGTGTGAGGAGTGAGATACGTGGGGCTTTGAGCATTGTAGCCGAGACCTGGGTGTGGTGCTGCTGGTCTGGTGTACTCACTGGACAATGGCACAGGGATGCTTTGTCTCTGATATCCGCTCGATGGTAGAGGAGAAGGAGGCGTCGTAGAGGGCCGTGGAGGGAGTCTTGGTGATTGCGGCGCGAGTTGAGGAGACGGGTGTGGGTCTATCTCTGAATAAGCCGGTGGTGGCACCTCTGGTGGTGAATCATCCACGTTCAATGATGTATCAATGCTTATCTGTGGGACGTCAGGTCGCTGTGTTGGTCTGGGACCGGCTTGAGGTGCGGAGTTGGTAGTGGTGCCTGTGTTTGAAGCACTTGTGCTCGATGCTGGCTGGTAGTCATTCAAAGAGTTCCTCAGTTCCTGCTGAAACTCCTCCTCTATATTCTGGGCAAAGGGGTTATTGGACGACATCTCCAGTCAAACAACACACGCTGATGGACAGTTATACCCTAAACGCCGTAATCGAACAGAGCTGGTTACGAAGTAAATACCCGTGTCGTGAAGTAGGTGTATACATTGAAAGCAGTGCTCATAATACCTACCCATTATAGTATATTTCCGTTTTCGGATATTAAGCTCCTTTTTGTGTGTGTTTTTGTGGTTTCTGCCCGCTTTCGAAAAAGGTTGAAAAAGTTTTGAAAACATCGCCGGCTAACAACACTGAAACGTTGAGCACAGCCATAGTGTTTGACCATGTTGACGTTTCCTATCAAATCACAGATCGCTACGCTCTCAAGAGCCGTTAATGGTTCAACCAATACGAAATATCTCATAAGCTCCTTACCATTGCAATTTGCCCGTGGTAAGCGTACCAAAAGAACCGTCACAGTCAGTGCCGGGACGCAAAGAATCATCACACAGCTCTCTGTCATCTCAGCTAGAAAGAAAGTACCACGTGTTCTCAAACTAAGCAACGAAGATCTGATCAGACATGACACTGTGCAGAGAGCATGGACTCTTTTCCAACGTGAAAAGAGACAACAGCAAGATGAACAACTGTCGAAGCAGTACGATTCCATCATCAATGCTTTAGAGGACTTGAAGGCGGTTGCTCCAGAGCTTTACGCGGTAGCAAACAAGAAGGAGAAGGGTAAGAGATTCCCACTGGAGGCTAGAATTCCAGTGGACTACCCTCCAAACAAAATATGGTACTACGACGTTGCTAAGGACGAGTCCAAATGATCACATAGGTTTTACTTGTAAATAATGGATACATATTACTCTTTTCTTCCACTTGGGACATAGCCTGAAACTACCAGAGCCTTTGTAGCCATGATGTTTGTGCACCTTTTCTCTCAATGTTTGGCATGCAAAGCCAAGTGGCCATCATTCCTAAGTAACATGCAAGCACAATAGGATGTAAGATATACGTTCCCGTAAACTCACTGCCCATACCCACGGCAAACGGGACAGCAGAACCACCCGAAGATCCAAACGCAGTTCCAAGAGTCATTGAGCAGAATCTGATCTTTCTTGGGAGGATTCTCGTGATCAACGAGATCATAAGTGGATAAATCGGGCCTATCAAAAGCCCAATAAAGGATAGGCATACGCCAGCAGCGATGGTATTTGGAATAAACCAAACGCAAAAGTCCAAGATCATGATCAAGATCATCAAGACAACAATGGCTCTTCTCACGCTAAACATACGCGATAGAATGGTCGTAAGGACAAATCTCCCAATCATAACACCTCCCCAGAAACCGGATGCAATGTATCCAGTACTTTCTGGGTTGCCATGTCTGTAATCCAGTAGGAAAGTCACTGTCCATCCACCAAGTGATACTTCTGAGCCTTGGTAGAAAAAAATGAAAAAGCATACAAGCCAAGTTCTATAATCTTTGAAGGCTGCTTTAAAATCATGTTTCTGTTCTGGCTTTTTAGGCTCTTCATTAGTAATTTCCTGAACATCATCCTTAACGGTCTCAAGTGGAATAGATTCATCTTGTGGACTCGAAGAAGGTGCGTTAGAAGGTTCCAGCTCAACAGTTTCCCATTTCTTCAAGTCTTCATGACAATTATTGAAGGCCCAAGGTGTGAAGACCACATTTAGACATGCTAATGCTAAGGGTATGAAATAGAAAAAGTGCCATTTGATGTGATGGTTCACCATCGCTGTACCGATCAGTGGTGCTATGAATGCACCTAGGCCATAGGTACCATGGAATATACCGAGATAATGTGCACCGTTCAGTAGCTTCGCCAAGAAGATATTGAACTGTGATAATCCGATAGCACCACCTAGTCCACCGCAAAAAAACCCAATAACAATCACTGGGAATAGCGTTCCAGATGATGCTAAGCTGTACATTATGATAAACCCAGCAACGCTCAATGTCAAAGATTTCTGCATCCCAAGTTTAGAATCGATCATATGGGCCGTGAACGCAATGATAATGTAACCGATTGCATTTCCCAGCCAAATCAACGAGACAACTGCATAAGAGATCCCATAGTATGTCTCCATGTATGGTAAGATCGCACCCAACACACCATCCGTCAGTCCCGTTGTAAAGACCCAGACGCAACCAGCAATCACCCTGTACAAGTTCTTTGGTGGGTTTCTTATCGACATAATGTCCAAATCATGGGGAAGTGGCTCGCCATATTCCACAAGTTTTGTCAATGTTGTTGCAGTCTCATGACGAACGTTATCAGGTCTCTGTTGGGAGGATGAACCAATTGAGAAGTTTGGCTCTGCCAGTTCAACAGCTGGGGTTGTCGTCAATGACTCCTGAATCGTATCAGGAATGGCAGAAGGTAAATCTTTGAATGTTAAGCCTGCTCTTGGGACCAGAGAAGATCTTCTTCTAGCAACGGTTTGAGGCTCTGTTATCTCCTCCAGCTCCTCGTTTACAACAACATTTTCTTCGCTCTTCTTGTCACTTTCACTCATCTTTGTTGTCCAATTGGTTATTGTAATATGCTATTGTCTTACAGTTTGAACATGTTGGTTTAAAAAAAACGTACATTAAAAAATTGGGACAACGGGGACAAACGTTGACAAGCGGTATAAAGTTTATCCCATGTTGCATATCCCCGACATCAATTTAACCGCTTATTTTTCCGAACTGTAAGTGTCTGGGGGCGTGTTGCCGCTTATTAAAGTCTCTGGACTAGTCCAATGAACTTTAAATAGATGGTCTTGTTCTAAATTTATCCGACCTTTACGGTATCAAACAAGCCCTTAACGTATTCGTTCTCTTTGATTACTTGCTGCCATTCTTCTTGTGTTATTGTCGTTATAGATAGCAGCAGTTTTGTTGCGATGATGACCTTCTTCTTCGTATGGGAAGTTTTTGCCCTTCTCCAAGCCATCAAACATATGGCAAAGATATCATAGCGATGATTTGGAAGTCTCATCCAACAGTTCTGCTCAATCGCTATAACACAATTCACAGTGTTGCAGAAGAGCTCCTCATCCATGTCAATAAATGGATCCGACACAACAGTGCCGATCATATAAATCAATCTTGGTAACACCTTTAACGTTGAATCTCCCAATTTTGATATTACCGTTGTAATATGGCACATAATCACTCTAAGTGTCTGGAAGTTATCACGGACAGTATTGAACGAGCTTAACAGTCCGCTGTTGAGAAGTTCAATCAGATATTTGTTTCTCTCTTTAGTGTTTTCGAATAGTTTGAACATCGTTGGATATGACTTTTTGAGTATTTCCACTGACAAATCAGTTGGAGTGGATGGTGGTAGATACGACAACAGAGGTCTGACCGCATCGTAGAATATGGATAGCACCCCTGTGGTTTCTAAATAGCTCGGTTCAATGGTGTCAAGCAGAACAGATAGGAGCTCAACACCCTTTAGCTTGATAAGACCTTCGTGGTCATCCAAAATGTTCAATATTGTTGGCGCAATTAACCACCAATTATCTCTTATTCCTTGCGCATCATTATGTGAGAGCCAGAGTACGAAATGCGATATTGAGCCAATACGAGTCTCCTTCCACTGATCTCGTCCATCTGTGATGAACCCCAACTTTGGTTTGAGCCCCTTGAATTGATTTATCTTCTTATATCCTGCTTTAGAAACCCTTGTTGTCTGCAATAGCTTGAAATCTTGAGTTATCGAGTCTCTCAATAAGGTCCAGTCATTTGGTGTTATCTTCAAGCGGTTGATGATTTCAAGGCACACCCTCACACTGGCCTCATCACACCAAGGTGAAGTCGTGCAGAAGCAACCAACCGAGCTCAGAATTGTATACGTGTCGTAGCCATCATCATCCTGTAGAAGCTTTTGTATCTCAACTAATGCCTTTGAAGCATCTGCTTTGAACCTCGTCTGTGTTTCATACTGCGGCAGCGTCTTTTCGTAGTCATCCACATACCAAATCCATTGAATGTGAGGTAGCTTAATCGTCTCAAGCTGTGATTGTAGTGTTGTCATTGCTCCTTCGCCGTCTTTCCACCCTCGAGGTTGTGTCCTATGTCGAACAGGTTTGTTGATGTTTGATGTGTGGTGAAAAAGGTTGAAAAAAACACCGGGACCTCATCACTCAAACATCAACAACCCGTTTAAAAAAATTCGGAAGGGATAGGATACCGGAAGAACCAAGATGATAACCAAAGAGGTAGAGGATGTACGAATCAAACATGGTGATGTTATTGATGAGAATGTCTTCATTGGACTTACCCTGGCAATACTAGCGCATAAGAACGTTGTTATCTCATCTGAGGATATCCATACTGCAACGTATGTCACTGGTTATATTCTCAACACCGTCTGGGGGCTACAAGCCACTGTGTTAAAGGCACACGCTGGAATCACGAGGGATGATCTTCTGAAGTTCTTTTTTGACGGCACAATTGGCGGCCATATGGGGTTTGTCTATGTGATTGAAGGTATAGATAAACTATCAAATCAACTTCAGCGGTTGATACTTGAGACGATGAAATCTAGGAAAATCGTCTATAATAATACCCCGTTACTAGCCAATGAGCTCAGAACCATCGTGGGCATCACTGGTGAGCCTCATGCACTTTATCCATTGCTCTCACAGGAGTTCTGGTTCCAGCAGAGGTGTGACTTGAAAATGGATATAAACGATGGACGATTCCCGACTTCAGCTACGCTAAACAGATCCAAAGTGACGCATTTCATCACATTGAGAAACAAATACTTGAACGTTACGATATCACCTGAAATGAAACGGTACATCTACGATATCGTCATACACGTACGATGTCATAGATGTGTTAAGAATGGGTTTCCTACAAGAGCTATCAAGGATCTGGAACTGCTCTGTCAATGCCTGTGCTTGATATTTGACAGGAACTATGTCATACCAACAATCGTCAAACTGGCGTGTCGGAAGCTGATACCCTTCAAGATTCAAATGGTGGATCCTTCTTTGGAGCCCACATTGCAGTACGGCAGTGACATCGATCTCGTCGCTGAAATGATGAAGCGAATGACCCCCAAGATGGTTGTTGAAGACGTTCTTAGGAAAGTAGGGCCACCTTTATAAACGTTTGTTCTGCCTGTGGAGACACAACCATTGTAGTGACAGCACTAGAGACTATGTATATCTCTATGGCCAGTGCTCATAACGCACTGTATCTAACGAAAAACAAAAACGTAAACAATAACCATAGAAACAGAACCCTATAAATATTAACTCAAGGCTGACAACAACATCATGGCTGATAAGGAAGTAAGAACCCTGTATTATATTCCCTGGATCATTTTACTAACGATCTGGTGAAGATCACGTTATTCCTCGTCGATGTTGGTGCCGAAATGGGTCAGATCACCTTCAATGGCGAAACTGATCTCGAGATCGGTTTGAAGTACGTCAGGAACGAGTTCATGACGAAAGTGAGTACGGGATTTCGACGTTGAACCAGTGAATTGCCACTAATAATGCATGGAAGATATTCAGAGAGAGGAAGACAGATGTGGTTTCACTAGTGACAGTGGAAGATGATAGTAAGTACTGTTTGCTTCTCTCGTGTCAATCGCTTCTGGTACTAATGAATGATAAGAAACGCTCAATGAAGCAGGTCAGATTGGTGTCTATGAACAACTGTCTGCACAAATGTAAGTCTTCGTTTCCCGCTATCCAGTCAAGATACTAATAACTGTTATAAAACAATAAAGGCCTCATTATGAGCATTTAGAATTGCTGTTCAGAGAGCCAACCTCTATTGAGGCATCTCAAGATACTGCAGGTATAATACGTGGTTTACTTTCATCTTTCCAATCGCTTGTGAAGTTTGTTGGGAAGAAGAAATATCAGAAGAACATTGTCGTTGTAACAAACTCCAAAACAGTTCCTGAATTGTCAGAAGACTTCCATGCTGGTGTGAGACAGATCATAGCTGATCAACAGATTAAGCTCAAAGTCATCGGTGTCGATTTCGACACTTCGACACAGGACCGACAATCTTTGCAGAACATGACTGCATGGTATACGTTGCTTGCTGGGCTCCCAGGCTGTTCCATCTGCAACGGTGAAGAAGTTTTGAAGGACATTTGCTCATCACCACCAAAACCTGTGCGTCCAGTAAAGGTATTCAAGGGTGACTTAAGGATAGGTGCCGATCTTTCTGACCCTGATTTCGACATAACAAACGATATCAGTTGTATCAATATTGGAGTTGAAGGTTACCCTGGTGTGAAAACTTCAAGGCCCCTTGGAAGGAAAACGTATGGAGTTGGAGAATATGGCCCAGAAAAGGTAACATATGTTACAGAATATATGATACGGCACTACTTTGATACAGATGGTAATTTTGACCATATCGATCCCAACAGGGAGGAGCTTGACGAACGTGAATATGAAGTTGAGATTGTTGATAAGGCGTCCTTAATCAAGGCGTACAAATACGGTACTTCTACGGTGGTGTTGCCAGAGGAGTTGGAAAGAGAGAGATTGTATACCACCTCACCGGGCCTAGACATTGTCAAGGTGATACCTGAAGACCATCTTCCAAGATCATATCTCTCAGATGAAACGGTCTTGGTGTTTGGCCAACAAAATATCACCAGTAATATGAAGGCATTGGCATCCATTGTAGATGCACTACATGAGTTAAAAGCTGTGGCCATAGCAAGATACGTTAAGAAGCAAAACGGGGAAGTACAGATGGTGGCATTGTTGCCTATCTATGTTACAAAGAAGCATACAAGGAAACGTAAGTTCGATGATGAAGACCACAATAGTACAAGAGCTTTGGCAATGTCAAGGTTACCATTCATGGAGGATGAGAAAATGGCTGTATTTCCAGATTTGACAAAGCAGGTGACGAGCTCTGGTAAAGCTATCAAAAGCAATCATAAGTTATTACCAAGTGCTGAAGCACAAGAACAAATGGATGCACTTGTTCGTGCTTTGGACATTGATCAATTGGGTATCGACGAAACTGATTTTCTTGGTGACAAAAGGGTGTTCAATCCATTGACGAATCCTGTTTCGTTATCTAATCAGGATGCATTGATCAAGAGGTCTGTGGGGAGTCGACGTGTTGATCTAGCACTAAAAGAAATCATCACTAGTGCAGTACGATCCAACACCAAATTGCAAGACTTTTGTAAAGGTGACGATGTTATTCCTCCAATTCATAAGTCAATTGCACTAGATATGGAACCTAATCCGAGATTGGCTGAGAGTGCAAGCCCAATTCTTGAAAGACTTGTTACCCTTTTAAACGTCTCAAAGGTGGATAAGACCACGTACACTAGAAGACGTAAGGCTCTTGACGAAATTCTACAAGAAGAGGAAGAAGATGGTTTATCCTTAGATGAGCTATTGAGTCGTGGTGTGCGCAAATAGTTGATCCAACCCTTGGGATGGATCGTAATCTAAGTTGTGGTCTAATAGAGTTGGTATATCCAATTTGCGGTAATCCTCTCCCAAGAACTTGTAGATCAATACTGTTTTCTCCATTGGAGTGAAATCTTTGGCGTAGTGGATTGCAATTGCTGCAACCATTGTATTTGCGCAGATATCCAAAGGTGCTGCCCCGAAACCTGTTCCTAAACCTGGTATAACCAAAGCATCCACTTTATTGGTCAGTACTGAAAGAGCATTCCAAGTCCAGTCGAAAAGAGACTTGTGGAACTCCTTTGAGGTTTCCCTGATCTTTTCTGGGACCCTCATTGTTGGTAAATGGATCAGTTGTCTACAATTCCATGATTCCAAAGCGATTGAACCCCTTATCATCTCATCATCGAAATGAATCACCGTTGGAGACCCCGGTGGCTTGTAGTACTGCAGTTTGTTCAGTACGTAGTTCTGGACAGTTTCTGAAGACGAATTGACTCCGACAAAGCAGTCTCTAATGGCCATGTCTATACCACCACCCATTAGACCAGCAGAATTCCCCGGCGTGACCACCACAGCTGTGGTTCCCGTAACCTGAAGCTCGCCTATATCCTTATTACACACCTCTAGGGATACAGATCTCCCCTGAAATTCGAGAGGACATTTCGCCTGAAGAAACTTCTTGATCTGTGTACTCCAATGGTGACACAGTACTGGTGATCTATCTATCAATATCACCCTCATCTGCCCCTCGTTACAAAGGAGCCGATAGAGACTCGAGACATAATGTTAGATCACGTACAAATCTGTACATGTGCCGGTGGTGTCTGGGTGTTGTTGTCCCCGAGATGACGACTGGTGCGAAGAGGGAAAAAAATTCAAGAGCTCATCGCCTCACTTCATGGGCCATAAATTTGGTATTAAACAAACCAGCAAAGATGGCTAAACTGGTTCATAACGTTCAGAAAAAGCAGCATAAGGAAAGAGGACAGCTGTCCTCAAGATCCAGATATGGTCTGCTTGAAAAGAAGAAAGATTACCAGCTTCGTGCGAGGGACTATCATAAGAAGCAGGCTACGCTGAAGTCGCTCAAGGCTAAGGCTAAAGAGAGAAATCCAGATGAGTATTACCATGCTATGGTCAACAAGAAGACCGACAGCAATGGTTTTCTGGTTTCTGAGAGGGACACGGAGGTACTGAGCACAGATCAGGTGAAGCTGTTAAAGACACAAGATGCTGCATACATCAAGACACTCAGATCGCAAGAGTTGAAGAAGATCAGTAAGCTTGAGAAGACATTACAGTTCAAAGCACAAGGTGAACACACTGTGTTTGTCGACACACCAGAGCAAAAGCAGAACTTTGATGCTGCAAAGCATTTCGGGACGAGCCGTAGACTGGTTCATGATAGAGAGAATAGGTTGAGATTAGAACAGCTACAAGGCCGAGTTGAACTAATACCTGAGTTGAACGAAGACTTGATGCCAAAGGAATCACTTGATAAAAAGAGAATAAAGAAATTTGCTCAATTACAGTCACACTTGGAAAGACAGAAGAAGCTTAAAGAGGTTGAGGAGAGAATGGATATGCAAAGAGAAGGTATGAAGAAGGGAAACAAAAAGAAAGTGGTGGATGCACTCGGTAGAACAGCATACAAGTTCAAGAGGGAGCGTAAACGTTAACGTGCTTCTTATAATAAAACCGTATAAATCTAAACATATAACGATGAGCTTTTAATATTTGATGCTCCATTTCTTCACAGTAGCGTCGTTACCACCACTGACAATCTCTGTAGATGAGATCCACTGAACTGTGTTGACACCATCCTTGTGTGCATTAAGGAACTTGATGTTCTTCATTGGCTTCTCCACTTGATAAATGATAATGTTTGTGTCTAAAGAGCCTGAAACAACATGGTTGTTATCCTCATTCCATTCGATACTGTTGATACGACCCGTGTGGAATGCCCATCTTGATGTGACGGTCTCTTTTGTTTCAATGTTATACAGCACAATCTTACCACTAACATCACCAACAGCGAGATAAATACCGTTTGGCGAAAAGGCAATACAAGATGGGGCAGAACGACCTGAAGGAAGATCAAACAATTTCGATCCATCCTTGGCCGAATATACACTGAGAGCATTGTTTTGGAATCCAACAGCAACGTAGTCAGCCGATGTTCCAATCGCCGTTGCGGTGGAGTTCAGCTTGGTGGTGAATTCCACAACGTCCTTTTTATAGGCAATGATAGCTTCTTCTGTTAACACCGTGGTGATTTCATCGTTTGAAGACACACCTTTAGGTTGGGATGGAATCTCAGCAACGAGTGAACTGTCCAAAGTTTGTAGCTTATCATCCCAACCAGTGGTGTAGATACTTCCTTGTGAGAAGGTAAAGCCAATGACAAGGTTCTCATGTGCTTTTTCATAAGTGGCAGCACCTGTTTTCAAATCCCATTTACTGATTCTTCCGTCGTACGAGCCCGTGTACAATTCCTGCTCTGAAACCAGAGATGCAGTGATTGACTTTTGATGACCTCTAATGATCTTCACCGCCTCCTCTGAATCTTCAGTAAGATAATTCAAGTTACCTGAGAATGACAACGAGATTATATACTTCTTTGTTGCAACAACACCAACCTGGTGGTTCTCCAATGTCTTTTCAAAAGTCCATGTCTTCAACAGTTCGCCAGAAGTCACATTCCACAACTTAACAGTGGCATCACCGGAAGAAGTGACAAACTTCTCGTTGTCAACCCAACTAACAGCGTAAATACCACCCTGGTGCTCACCCTGTCCGATTTTCTTCAAGAATTCACCAGTCTTACCATCATAGACGACAATGTTTCTGTCTGAGCCAACACTGACCAAATGGACACCATCTGGAGAGTACTTGACGTCTCTGACGAAATTTGTATGGTTTCCTCTAACACTCGAGTCAAATCTGAATGGAGGTCCATGGTAAAACACCAATGCCGAATCGTCAGCAACCGTTGCCGCTCTATAAGGTCTTACTGGTCTAATCGCAACAGCGTTGATCTGTGCACTGTGGCCCGAGATTTCACCAACAGTGTTACCAGAATCCCAGGTGAAGGCATGGCCGTAGCGCTCCTTACCGTCACCAACGGCAATGACCCTCTGCGAGTCTGCATCCCAGGCAATGTCGTTGATGCGTCCGTTGATCACCTGGTACTCGCCCTTGACGATCAAATCGTCGCCCATGGTGTCCCAGATCTTCACGTTACCACTTTCATCACCAGAGGCTATGTAGAACCCGCTCGGTGCGAACGTAGCCACCGTCGCCAAGCTCAAGTGGCCAGTGAACTGTCTCGCCTTCTCCGGCTCCTCCACTGGTCTGATAAAGATGGATTTACCAGCCTTTGCGCATTCCCGTTAGTATCCCCATGCTAGTACAGTGCCACCAACAGCCGCAACAACATCAACTACTCACGGCATACGCAATCCTATCGTTCTTCGCGTCGTACGACAGGTGTGTCGTCTGTCCTCTCGCAGTGTTAGGCAACGCAGCCCAGATACCCTCCCTTGTAATTGACATTAGCTTCTACTGCTGCCTCTGTTTGGATGAAGAGACACTGCTCGGTTAAACAGGTGGGGGTTGCCGGTATTTGTTTACTCCCTGGCTTTGTGTCTCGGGGGACGGTACGCGCAACAATGGTGAAATTTTTTTTGTGTGTTTTCTGCCGCCAGGGCGATGCCCTCCATCGCTTGCAATGTTTTGAAGCCTTGAGGTTCCAGGGAGGTTTGTGCCGGTCAGATTATTGTTTAAGATGTCGTCGAGTAGACAGAATGTGTCTGTGGTGAAGAATGCGGTGCTTCCAGCACAGACCACGCCGGAGCAGCGTTATTGGAGAGGGTATACCAACACCCAGCTAGTTAAAGAGCACAACGCCGTGAGCCATATTGCATTCAACCCTATAAGTCCGTATGACTTTGCCGTGACGAGTTCCACCCGAATCCAGGTGTTCTCGTCCAAGACGAGAGAAGTCATCAAGACGTTCTCGAGGTTCAAGGACACCGTGTACAGCGGAGAGTACCGATTCGATGGGAAACTGCTTGTTGCAGGTGATGCCTCCGGGTTGGTACAGATCTTTGATGCCTACCAGCCAAGAACCCTTCTCGTGACAATCAACCCGTCTACGCATCCCACACACGTGACGAAGTTCCATCCTAGTGTGTCGACAACTCTGCTGACAGCTTCTGACGATAGGGTAGCCAGGCTCTACGATATATCCAACGCGCATAACCCAATACTGTCGTTTGACGACCATGAGGATTATATCAGAACAGCAACTTTCGTGCAAGGTTCGAACCTGGTCACCACGGGTTGTTATGATGGCTTTGTGAGATTGTTTGATCCAAGAGTCGGCAACGATCCAGTGGCCAAATTTGATCAGGCCAATCCGGTTGAAGATGTCTTGTCCTTAACACCAACAACGATGGCTACTGCTGCGGGACCAACCGTCAAGATATGGGACATTACTGCAGGTAAATGTATTAATGAAATGGCAAACTTCCAAAAGACCGTGACCTGTCTTGCTGATGCTGGTGAGGATCGTGGACTGTTGGCTGGTTCGCTCGATGGCCATATCAAGGTCTTTGATCCTCTGAACTGGGATGTCAAATTCGGCTGGAAGTTTGGGGGAGGTGTACTGAGCTGTGGTGTCTCTCCTAACTCAAAGCATTTTGTAGCTGGTTTGGTTTCTGGTTTACTAAGTGTTAAAACTAGAAAGACGGAACCAAAGGTTAAACAAGGTGTGAAACAGGTGAAGTCGAATGCTTTCAAAAAGATGATGAGAGGTTCAGAGTACCACGGTGAAGAAGAGCACAGAATTGTCAACGATAAACCAAAGCCACAGAGAAAACTACGTCTCTATGAAAAGCGTCTGAATGCTTTCAGATGGTCAGATGCGTTGGATGCCGCATTTATCCCTGGTATGTCCCGTGAATTGACCGTGACGGTTCTCGAAGAGTTGAAGAAAAGAGGTAAAGTTAGAGCTTCGTTATATGACCGTGATGAAACCACCTTGGAGCCACTGCTGAGCTGGTCCATTAAGGCCATCGAGGACGTCCGTAGTGTTTATATCGTTTCGGATTGGCTCGCTGTCGTCATTGAAATGTACGGTGGACTCATCAATAGATCACCAGTATTGGAGGAACTCCTTCTAACTCTCAAGAAGAAACTAAGACAAGAGATTGAAAAGGCTAAGGAGGCTCAAAAGATTGAAGGTATGCTACAGCTCTTGACTGCTCATTAGTTAGAAGTATAATAATCATGGCATGCATTTCATTAAAAGTTGAAAGGAAAGATCTCACCAACCTCTTTGTCTTCTGCCAAAGATGTTCTTCCTTTTCTGTATCTTGTACTTTTTAAAGTTATTATTCAAAGGCTTTCTTCTTTTGCTTGTCACTTCTGGAATGACATAGTCATCGTTATCATACTCGGAATCGTTATCAGACCATTCCTCAGAGTTTTCGGATTCAAAAGTGGACTCTTTGACGGTTGCCAGCTTCTGCATCTCCTCGCGCAGGTTCTTACCTTTCATCTCATCCTCATTGCCAGTGGTCTTACGCGCACGTTTCTTGACCAGTCTAACTTGTCTCTTTGGGCCCTTCTTCTTCCATTGCTGTAGTGGCACTGAGCCCTGCTCGTCTTCCTCCCCTGCTTCGTCATCTGATGAATCATGCTCTGCAAATGGTATCAGGTCATCCTCATCATAATCGCCGTACTTCAGCTCATCCTGGATGTCTTTCAACTCACTTGCGATTGTTGACAGGCTCTTCTTCATTCTCTGCGTCGCCAATGGTGAAGGCGAGGAAGACACCATCTCAACGGCCCTGTTCTTCAAATAAGCAGGCGTTTCAAAGGTCAACGTTCTCACAACCTTCTGCGGAGTTTTGGTTTCCACTTCATCACCCCCTGTCTCTTCTTGTAAAGTACTCTCCAGATCCAATCTCCTTGAAGGCGTACTTAGGACATTGACCGTTCTACACTTTGTAGGTGTACGGTATGGGCTCGTTATAACGTCAAATATACTCATTACCCTACCGTTCAACTGAGGTGTCGGTCCTAGCTGTTCCACTCGTGGCGAAATACCAGTATCAGCGTCCTGTGAGCGACGAGGAGCATCTGGAGACGTCTTCTCAGGTGTTTGCAGTTGTCCGTTGTGGCTCTGCCTCTGTCTCTTAACAGGGCTCAGAGGTTGTCTATTACACTGCTGCTTAAGGCTGTTGTATAGCTTGTACTTGGCAGCCACATCCAGATTCTTCTTTATATCGTCTCGTGTTGGATTTCTTCCCTCCCGTGCTTTGAACTGCTTCTCCCAGCTCTTGATCTCCAACTTCAGCACACTTCTCTCCATTGTTTAAAGTCCCACTTGGTGCTGTTGTTCTCTAAATGGCCTACACGGTGTGTTTGAACAATTTGACGCGTTTTTGGCGCTTTTTGGCGTTTTTTTCCCGTTTTCGTGTGCGCATCGCGCTCGCTCACCCTTTTTGCGGTACGGGCACACTTTCCCTCGTTTCGCCGGGTAACCCCATCTACGTCCAAAAAGTTTTCCCACACCCACAGTACACGCACACTTTCCAATGATGGAGCTGCTTGGGGTGTGTGATTGTGGGAGACTCTGTACACGTACCGTTATCGCTCTTCAAGATATGCTCTCTAGATCAGTATCACGAGCTGTGGTGAGACGATTCCGTCCAAGAGTAGCAGCTCCGTCGATAAGGAGACTCGAGGTGTCAAGGGCCCTGTCCACCAAAGATGACGTATCATCGATTCAGTCTCCATCGGAAGCTGTCGCAAGCGACGTTGCCAGTGGTGGAGGAACCCCATGGTATATGCGTCAGGAAGAGTCTTCAAAGCTGACGACGCCGGTTTTCAAGGCTGAGAAACCAGAGATTCCGGAAGGATCGCCCGCTTCTCTGGATAAGATAGTGGATTCGATGATTGATCTCGGTTTGAACGATTTCAAAGTGTTTGATATTAGAGATCGTGATGATATTCCAATGTCGTCCATGGCTGAGTTCTGTGTGATCTGTGAAGGCAAATCTGAGAAGCATCTTCAAAATGCTGCGCAAGAGATTGTCACCATGTTGAAACATGAATTCAGCGCACAACCCTACGTTGAAGGCATGACCAAACAGAACGAGTCTTTGAAGATGAAGAAGAGACTCAAGATGAAAAAGCCAATCAATGATTTTGGTGTTGGTGCAAATAGCTGGATAATGATTGACTCCGATACCGGTGTGTTCTTGAACTTGCTAACGCAAGAGAGACGCAGCATGCTCAATTTGGAATATCTCTGGTGTAAACCGGAAGATAGACCATTATATGAGAACTCAGCTCCACTATCACAACATCCAGACGATTCTGTTTTTGCTGGAATCTTTAGAAGATTTTACTCCACGCAAACCGCACAGACCTCTTTGGAATCAAAGGGATTACAATGTTTCCAGCTGAACGATGAAACTACATTTGACACCATTTCACAATCTATAAGAAATGACCCCAGTGTATCTCTAAACTTCCTTCAAGACATAGTCAACTCACTGGAATGCTCTGATGTGCACCAAACTCTTGAGCTATTTCCAGAAACGAACAAGTACATTGCATTCTTCAACAAGGCCTTCCCATTGGATCCAACAAGAGATCATTGGAATTTGAGATTCAGAATCCTCTCAATAATGCATAACCTATTTCCAGAAGCCTACTCTCCAGTGATGTTGGTGAATAACCTGCTGTTGCAAAGCGCATCGGGTTTTGCTATAGAGGAAGATCAACTAAGATCATTTGTTCAATTCTTGTCTCAATCGTTACTATACAACGATACAAGCAAGGCACGGGATTTGAACAACGTCATACAAGTTTCAAATGAAAGAGCAGATGTCCTGTATCCAGTACTGAGATCTTACAACGCAAACCATAGATCGGACTTACCAGACGACATCATATTATCGATCCTCAAATTCTATACTCAACAGCATTTATATTCAACTGCTGAAGAGACACTGTCTCTCAGTCCTGTGTTTGATGTGTTACTGGATCTTCTGGGTGATCGTCCATTATCAGCAGACATTGTGGAAGTTGTTCTTGTATCGTATCTGAAAGCCAACAATGTGGATCAGTTCTGGTCTTTCTGGGAATCTCTTCCACGCTATACCTCAAATGGACAGTCTGTCAGCTACGATTCAAGGCCATGGAATGTTCTTGCTTCGATTCTGAAGGACAACTATCATGAGAAATTGGTTGATGGATTTTTGAATGATTATGTACGTTGTTTCATCGACAGTAATGATGGGCAAATCGACGCTGATCTCAAGCACACTATCAATGAGCTCCTTGATAGATTCGATGGAAATGGAACACTTTATCCAGAACTACGCAAATGAGGCTGGCTTGCAACATAAATAACGAGACATGTATATATCTAATCCCTATTCAAATTACTGTTCAAGTAGTCCACGAACAACGGCACGATTCTATCAACGTCGAGACTTCTCACTTTGTTTAGCATAACAAACGTTCTTCTCAGCCTCTGTAACTGGGCATTACTTACTCCTTGTGTTGGAATATCGACAAAGGTATCCTCCTCGATCTTTACCCTGCCCGTGTTCATGTCTGCAAATTCAATCACTTTCAGAATCACTCCTTGCGTCTTCTTATCGAGCTCTTGCAAGTAGTTGGTGGCAGTAGCAGGTTTGAGCATTGTGGCAGCATTGGCTTGTGGGGCCTTCTTTAGAACCAAAGCGTTCCAGATGTCCTCAAATGGCACACCTTCGTCGTCAAATGCTATTGGTATCAATGGAGAATCCCAACGGCTCTGTCCATCAGGCTCCTCAAATCTCATACTCAACTGTTTCAGCAGTTCTGGATCCCACTGGTCATCCTGTGAACGCTTAGAATTCCACTCCAGGCACTTCTCTACAGAAGCCATCACATGGACAACACAGCATGGCGTCGATAGAGCCTTGGCCTCGCAATGCAGCTGGTATCGAAATCCCTTGATGTATGCTGGCGAGTCCAAGATAACTATGGTTGTACGTGATAAGTCTCTCTTCACAGCAGATATCTGTAACCCACGCAAGGACTTCTCCGTCACAGATTCACGGTACTGTTCTTTCGCTATTCCTAACGACTCATCGGAGTGTAGCACAACCTTGTAGTTAAAACCCGGCTCACCGCCCTCCAGCGAAGCAATTCTTTCCTCCAATAGCCTTCTCAGCTCATTGGCTCTTCCGGACTTGCCACATGATGGCAGTCCAGAGAAGATCACTAGTGGCATCGCGTCCTTTTCTGTTCCGTGTATACTCTAATTGTGTCTCTTGCAAGTGCGCTGGGCTTGTTTTTCCCCTGCGAGAGGTGAAAAATTCTCGAAGAGGCGATGAGCTTCTCCGAGACACAATGAACAGAGCATAGAGGGAACGCCTTCTGATTGGAACGAACAATGACGGCCTCCTCCGCTGCTGCCAAGTTTATACCGAGACTGACCTTTCCTGAGTATAACATACGACTCTCAGACTTCAAGGGCCATCATCAGAAGGCGCTGAACAAAATGACACAGATTGCTCCCCAGATTGACGTCGTGTTTGAAGTACGTGATGCAAGAGCGCCGGTGAGCTCACGTAACGTGCTACTAGATCGTCCGTTCTCAAAGGGGAAGAAGGTGATATTATACTCGAAGAAGGATCTGAGCCGTGTGGATACAGAACTGCTAAGGAAATGGCATGGTGACGAGCCATTCATGTTTGTCGATTGTCGTTCCAAGCGAGATGCTCAATACCTGATTGAAATTGCAAAGCACAAGTTCAACGAGATGAACCCAAGGCCGCCACTGGGACTGCGTATGCTTGTTGCCGGTATGCCCAACGTTGGTAAGAGTACTCTTGTGAATACGCTTAGAAACGTTGGTCTGGGTAACTCGAAGAAAGTTGCACGCACAGGTGGGCAACCCGGTGTCACGAGAGCTACGAGTTCCATTATCAAAGTTAACGAGGACCCTGAGATATACCTCTATGACACACCGGGTGTCTTCTTGCCAAAGGTTGACAAAACACAAACGATGATTGTTATGAGGCTGATCGGCGCTGTCAAGCCTATGGTCGTTGACCCCGTCATTCAAGCAGACTATCTCCTGTACTTGATCAACTTACAAGACTGGACTCTCTATAAAAAGTATCTCAAGCACCCTACTAATGACATCGATGAGCTTCTAAGATCAGTGAGTAAGACCATTGGCAAGTACAACAAGAGAACAAAGGACTACGACGAGACGGGCACGGCGATCCATTGGGTTGACACGTTCAAACAGGGTAAAGCCGGTAAGATCAGTTTCGAGCTCGATGCCGTAGTAAGCAAAGGGTTCGATTTCCAAGAGGCATGGAAACTCGAGAAGGAGCGTGTCGATTCCATGGATATTTCGCTAAACAGAACCAAGGAGAAGAGGCCTATGACACATAAGGAATACGTTGCCAGCAATGCCAATCAACTGTTCCACGATGAGCTCTAGCGCATTGATCCGTAATCTCTCTCCGTATATATGAAAAGGCGCGTGGTAAATAGTGGACAAAAAAGAAACAAACAAGCCAATTGGAAACATGGACTCACAATACCTCTGTCACGTAGAACATGGACTGGTTGGCTGCTTCGTAAGCTCCTTGACACATAACTTTGGTGCCATTGGCTCCAGTTCCCTACAGTTCGGTCCAAGAGATGTTGCTACCGATACCTCCGTGCCTAAACCCGTCGTTTAGCCCACGGGCCGTGGCTGAACGGTACGGGTAACATACGGGGCCCCAGAATCTTTCCGGATGCTTCCGATAAATTCTCGTGTCGACAGGGTAACGTGCTCGGCCAGGGTCTGCGAATCCGAAATGGAAGGAGGAAAGAAAATTTTTGGCTGCATATGACCAAATCCTCGACGGTGATTCGTCCTTTTAGCCGACATTTCCGGAGAGGTATATAATCAAAACGACGGGTACAAACGCGTGGAAAATAAGTTTCCAAGAAGTGTCTCAGAGTTCACAGAGTGCATCGATATGGCATGAGGAATTTCATCACAGTGGGGGCGGGAAAAGGCCTCCTCAGTGCTTTTCCCCATTGTCATATGATGGAGAAAACTCATCTCATGTACTCCATGTTTCTTTGTTCAGACTCTGACACATCATCACTTAGATACAACCCATGAAACCAACTCCATCGTATACACTTGTAAGCTGCGGAACAGAGTAGCTGGCCTTGACGTGTACTACACGACATTCCCTTGCTCAATTATCCCACCTCCCCGGCAGATCCGAAAGTGGTAGAGCCACAGCAACAGTTACGCTGTGCGCTTGTGTCCGAAACCCACGCTGCATCTAAAAGGCGAGCGAAAACGATGAGGCCAATTTTATATAACGAACTTCAAATCCCATCCCCCTGTACTTGGTTTCAAAAACCGTCGAGACCTCTCTAAGCCCTATACTGTCTCTTAGTTCTATTGACAATAGTGCCCAACATATACCACAGTGACTGTTTATATCTTTACTGATCTGAACCGTCAAGATGATGAACTCAAGTATGTGAAACGGCTTTTCTTTTTTTGCCTGTTCCTCTTGCCTGTGTCGAGATGCGTTGAAGGAAGTGGATTGGGAGAAAAATTGCTCATAACGGTTGAACAGGGCATGATTTACTAACGATGAGGATCTTAGAACCAATGCACCAGTCCCCATTGAACATACAATCTGTTTCCACACCGACTGTGATTAAAACTTCAAAACAATGGGTATTACCACCGAGACCAAGACCCGGCCGTAAACCGAATAGTGCCGGATGTCAACAAACGCAGAAGAAGGAACCAAAGAAGAGCTACAAGAAGAAGAGCGATCAGAGTAAAGCTGATAAAGCTGTTATTAATCCGATAGAAATTGCATTGAAAAAAATCAAGGATGAGAACCAATCGCTTAAAGTTGAACTCTCAAAGCTCGTTTCTGATTTGAAAGCACTCCAAGAACAGACTCCGGATGAGGATGACCATCTCATACACAAGAAGAGATCCGAATCAGTTGTTGACTCTGAAGAGGACGAAACGTCTTCACAGATTTCAACGCCTTCTCTGATGTCGTCGTCGTCGTACATGAGCGCCTCAACTTCGTCGCTAGATTCGATCAAGGAGGAACAGACTTTGAAGATTGATGACTTTTTAACAACTTCCTTCTTTGAGTCGTCATCCAACTCGATCACCTCTGATTTCCCACCTTCATTGCCATCTTTGAGAGCAAAGAAGACTGAAAATGCCTTTGAATTCAACTTCCTCAAACAGGAATCTATGAAGCAACAGGAGGTGATGAAAAATGAAGGTTACGATCCACTGTTCCAGTCTGTGAATCCGGATGCTATGGATGTTGATATTGAGTTCTGGAGCTGGAAATAAAACCGAAAACAATTCCATCTTTAAAGTCTCTGATTGATATTCTTTTCTCATTTTATTTCTCCCGCCTATACAAACAGATCAGCTCCCTCAGTTTCAGGTCTTGCAGTACTGCTTTAATGGTTTATTCATCCACCACCACCGTTCCGAAGTTCAAGCAACCATGATGAATTAAATGTTTGACTTCTATGCATCATCATCATCATCATCATCATCATCATCATCATCATCATCATCATCGTCATCATTATGACCTCTTTTATCTCACTATTTACGTGCCCCATGAACTACACCGAATATTTTGTTTTCTTCTTGTCTGAACTCTTACTTCCTTTCAGACGATTGATTCTTCACCCACATCACATCACCCTTCTATCCACATCTCCTGAAGTTTATGTCGGAAACGAAGCAACGAAAACACATCTTTTTCCACCATTTGTTATGACGATCGAATTCACGTTACAACTTTGCCCGTTTGTTTAATTTGACGTTCTGTTCTGTTCTGCTTGCTTTTCCCTCTTTTGGTCCATATATACAAATATTGGCCTTTGTATATCTTCTAGATGAATGTACACCAATTGAGTTATAGCGTTCTCCCCCCCCCCCACCATTGTAGAGTTCTAAATTTTGTTCTTAACACCGTCAATAGAGTTGATATGTATGGAGATTGAGGGGTGCTGCAGCAGAAGCTGAGACTCCCCTTCGAAGACTGTTTGATTACGCTTTAATAGAGAAGATCTACATTTCGCGAAACCGTTGAAAAAAGTCGTGTGCGCTCAAAAAAGAGCTGTTGATCGGTGGTGTTTCCACTTTGAGCCTTTGCATTCGGGCAAATCATATCGGAGATTTCTCTTAGGGGTGTGAGCTTTGACAACGACACCACTAGAACGGTATAAGCTGGTGTGGAACTGTCACTGGCTAACAGCAGAAAGCTACATCAACGTATGTGACATCTACGTGCACGGATCATGCTATCCACATTGATGTATGTGCTGTTGACAGTCACATGTGTGTGCTTTATAAGATGTACGAATTTTGCGCTATAGTAGAAACAGTGGTGTAGGTCAGACTGTTTCAACTCCGTCTGCATTCCATCATCGGATGGTCTGTGAAGGAAAGCAGGAAGAATCGTATTTATTGGTGT